GTTTTGTAAAGATATTAAAACGACCTGAAATTTATGGATTGCCATAATTGATCGCTACTAGTGCTTTGCGTTTGTTCTTACCATTTTAGTTTACTTAGAAAAACATATTCACCAGTTTAATTCGTTGTTCGACGAATTAGTCTAATTAGTTTGTTTGCATACTATTTATATAATACTTTACCATTGTTAAACGAAAAACTCATTTTGAGTGATATGGATTCTAGAAAACATTCGCTTTATACATATTATTGTAAAAACAAAAAAACAAACTAGCATAAGTCACACATTTTCTTATGGTGATTTTTACAGTTGGCCGGGGACCCCACGGCGGCGTAATGCAGACAGCAGCCTCCAACAACTAACTTAGCCTTCCTCATATGTCTCATCTTTTGGTCTCTATTTGTTTGATTTTTATTTATTTTATTCTATGACTTCTTGCGAAACATATACTGTACTATTGTATTACAAAATATCCACTATTTTTTGTTTGTAATTGCTCTAATTAAAATATTGAATGCATGGTATAGAAGGTGGCATTACTTTATTACTATAAACTAAGCTGCTCTATCTTGGAATTTGCTCCTAGTATGATGCTCTCATAGGTAGGTATCGACTCAGTGAATATTCTTTGCAATAAAATAGAGGAAAAGAAGTATAATTACATAAGGTCAGTTAACCGACAAGTTTTCCAAAATTAACCCAATTATGTGGTTAGATTGTCATAAATTTATACGAAAAAAAATCCTTCAATAACCAGAAAAAAAAATACATAGAGTTTGTCCACTAAAAGAGGCAAATCCACATATGAGAATCCAAAGGAAAAAACGAAAGCCTCACTAAACGTTATCAACGATGTACATATAGTGTGGTTTTGTGTAAATTATTACTGGTTTTAAATTTATATCTTAAATGTGTTTAGATAGTTTACATTACTGGTTTAGTTATATTGTTGTAAACAAGTAATACGTAAAACAATTACCTTTTAACAAACAAGAAAAACGTACTACAAAATAAAGGTGCACGCACGAGGTTTTATCACATGTGTTTTTTCCTGAGTCATGGAATTTCTTTTAATTCATCTTCACAAAAGGACGAATAGATCATTACATAGATATGTATAAGCAGTTAAAAAAAAAATTAGCAGTTCTGACAAATTGAAGAAAATAACCCTTAACTATCCATATTAATTCAACTATCCTCTCTTGATTCAACTATCAACGTAAACTACATATTTAAAATCATAGACGCTTACCAAAAGATTAAGAAGAGTCTCTCATTTTACCTGAAAGCTAACCCGTCAACTAATACGAAAAAATAAATTGATGAAAATTCAACTATGAAAAGGACAGATTAACAAAACTTAGTTAGGGTTTTTAATTACCTATTAGCAAAGCGATACAACATCTTACAGTTGTCAGAAAGTTTGTGTAAAACGTGAACTCCAAAAAGAAATTATTTCCCGATTCGTTTGCTGTCGTAACCGGTCTTTCTCAATTCTCGTTATCTTATTCCTTTTCCTTCTTGCCACAGTGACTACATTAATCACATATCGCAGTGATAATCATTCATTGGTATCATATTTCTGCTAAAATTTGAATCAGTAATAATTTTAATTTTTTATGAATTACATAAGCATACCAATATATCTTTCGTGGCTATGAGGAAAAAGCGTGTAAAAGAGCTTAGAGTCTTCCTTTGTAGAGCTAAAGTTAATCTTTATAGGCACTAGACATATTATACAAGACTATAGAAGCTTTATCTAAATTAATGACTAAAATCTTAGCTAAATCTCATTTACATGCGATTCTCTATAATATTAATTCGTGTAGCTTAATTTCTTATTCTACTGTATCTACAAGAACAATAAATTGCATATTTCTTACTTCGTGTAAATAATCTAAGACCTCTTCTTTAGAAAAATGACTGAAAAGTAAATTCAACAAATGTCTCAGTTTATATGAGCTATGTTCATCCTTTCTTGTAATTTTTATATGAGTCTAACGTTTTCTCACATGTGATACCGGTAAATTTTATGTATAGAATTTTAGAATTAGTTTTGTGAGTTTTATAATAGCTAAATAGATAGATCTGGTGAAAAATAGTGCTTGGTACTTGGTAGAGCAGATTTCTTAGGAGATCAAAATCCAAAAGATTAAAAATTTATTCGACAAGGCATGTTAAAACAATATCTAAATACTAAAATCAAAACCGGAACTAATATGAACCAAGTTAGTTTAATCATAGCAGTATCGCTTATCTTCAAATTTTCAGTAAGAAAAATTCATTATATACTATACAATTATGTAGCTAATAGTAAGAAAATTGCTACACACACATGATCCACATTTGGCATTTCTCATACTTTGAATTATCTGGTTGTCATGAAGTTGAAAGTGACTAAATCAAAGAACCAATGACATCTCTTAATGGATACACATCTGAGACTATACGTATAGATAAAAAAAAAATTACAATGCGAATATAAATCAAGAAAATAAAAAATAGAATTAGGTTACCCAACTTATATGAGAAAGATAAGTACTTTATCGATTTTTTAAAAAAAATCGGTTGGATTGGCTTGGTTGAAAAGCTCATCAAACATATGAAGAAAATGGAAAAAACCTAAATCCAAAGTTACCACTTCGATATGTTTGTATCTTTGTTATCGGTTCTTTTGCAAGTTTCACGAAAGATAGATATACATCAGCAGCATGACCAACCGAATTTTCTCTATTTGAGAAAAAGAAATAGATTGATCGGCAACTAACTAGCGCGTCTAGATAGATAAACATAATATGCTCATTTTTTTTCTTTTCTTCTTTTTGCTGTTTATAAGCAAAACATACATCCTCATTTAAAATAATTATACAAAAAAAAAAACAAGTCTTAGTATTTTAACATTCTACTATATTATTTTATCAACGCAATTAAACTTAGATTTTTAAGTGAACAAAAAGCACATTGGTGATATATTTTTTCAGTCAGCTTAAGAAAAAAAAGCTTTTAGAAGACATTATACAGTACTTGTAAAACTAGTAGTCAGAAATCCCATCCAAAATTGATTATGTAATTCAACGCATATGAGCAAAATAAAAAACATGAAATGAGAAAGACTAGATGATCCCATACCGAAGAAAGGTCCTGAAGGGAGTTTATACGAATGGGCCAATTCTTTAGGCCCGATATAATGCAACCCCAAGTGTGGCTCTTCAGCAACCCTCCTCAAAGATTTTGACTGATGTGGCCGATCAAGTTAGGCCCGTTAATATATACAACGGTATTAGAAATTATGAAGTTATGTAACGGCTGCTACTAACAATTTTCGGTCGTTTTGATTTTTGTTTATTGGATGAACAAACTTGAGGGTCAGATGAGATATTTCAAAATCTGTCATTGGAAATAGTTTTAAAGGATCATTTTTTTCTTTTACTGAATTCTTTTTCTGCAAGTGATATTCCAAAAATTTTAATAAAAAATACCATAGCAGTTTTCCTAAATTCGTCCACACCATCGTTACAGTCATGTAACATTTTATCAAAAAAAAATAAAATAGTTTCAGATGTTTGATTGTAAATTTAATATTCAATATGTGAAACTACTTTCAACTCTATTTTAGATCAGAAATGGGTTATACGAAGATATGGCATTGTTTTTGTATATATGAGACTAAACAAAATTAATCTTGCGCATCTTAAACACAAATCCGGAATCCAAATCAAATGTTTTAAAAATAAATACAATGGTCTATCCTAATCTATGGACGTTCACCATAGTTTAGGAAAAAAGTACATGTCTGGTTTTTAATATAAAATCAACTAATTGTATAAAAGTAAATTGGATGTTCTTGTCATGCATGGTCTGTCCTTTGTCTTGGATCATATGGGTGGGATCGAAAACATGAACGAAAAAGAGACATTTTAATCCAAAAAAAACAAAAAAACAACTCCGACTATCTGTAAACCATGATAAAAGTACACGATACTAAGCAAGTTGCATGTTTCCCCTATAATACAAAAATGGAATCTTAACGACACACTTGACAATAATTAACCCAAATGCATAATAGTATTTAATTTAACCCCCCCAAAATAACGTAGACTTGGGTTATCTGTAAACGGATTAATCGCCTAAACATATCGATCCTAGTACATATCATTTGTCATTAAGTTGATGTAGGGCCTGTTCGTTTTCCTCACAAATAGTATTTTGTACGAAGAATCGAAAAGTTAGATGTGAAAATAAGTTATGACAAAAAAAAAACATGTCAGCATAATTTGGCTCGTTTCAAGATATCCCCACAATTCACTAGAAAAAGAAAAAAGGAAGTGTGGTGTATTGGTGTGAAATGTGAAATGGGTCGATCGATCAGTAATTTCTAAAGCTTTACCGTTGTAACTAATGCGGAGCAATACGCAAACCATTCATGCAAATGCAAGATTAGTCCATAAACACGTATTTATGGGCGAGAAAGACCAACCTGCAAGCGATACAAATATAACACCACTTATGAGAACTGATGTTATTGTTAACTCTTTTAAAGTCAATCGAGTAAATATGATGCTAACTTTTACCAAATAAAACAATATATATATGTATATGATGTTAATTAACTTTTCTTTAATAAATCTTCTTCAGTACCATTTACAAAATAAAGAAGCCAACATCTTTTGACGCATATACATCAAAGAACGTCAAACCTCCATCTGTCAACCACGTGAGATGCACGTGCGTTGACGGACCGTGAGTGAGAGACTCTCTTTTGGTCAAGCAGACAAGCACCCAGAGCACAGGCCACAAGCCTCCTCTCTAATTTGTTCAATTCATTAAATTAACAATCCCTAACTATATTTAGTAACGCTCTCTTGCACTATTATATTAATTGTTTAATAACTACTTAATATCTCTTTCTCTCTCTTTCTCTGTAAAGACTTTCCTCAAGATTTTTCCCTAACCATCAGATTAACTTTTGTAGGGTTTTTCTTTTCCGGCAAAAGCAAATCATGTACCCTCCTTCTTCCTTCTCCAAGTCCACAGCTCCAGACGGAGGCGACGCCGTCAACAACCAATATGATTCGGCCGCCGGTGCCACCCGTGATTTCTCCTCCCTCGGCTCTCAAACCCACCATAATCCTCCGCCACCGCATCCACCGCCTCCGTCACGGCAACAACACAATCCTAACGTCGGCGGTCATTGCTTTCCCGGCGATCCATCTTCCTTCGATTCGGATTCCAACGCTTCTTCTTCTTTGTTCCGACACAGAAGCTCTCCTGCCGGTTTCTATGACCAATATCTTCCCACTGATCCCAACGGTAACTTTTTGCGTTACTTACATTTTCTACCCTATCCTCCTCGACTAAATTCTTACCCCTCATATCGTTAATCAATTTTGATTTATGGTCGACGTGATATGAAAATTACAATTCACAATACACATTTAAACCCCACAGGAATTACAATTTACAATTACACATAGAGAGATTATTTTTATTAGTTACAATTATTATTATTTTTTTTTTTAAAAAACATGGATAACTAGTTCTTTTTTTTAGAACGGGTTTGGTATTCTTTTGTTCAGTTAAATGTTTTGAGTTTTTATATTGTTTCACTGAGATATAAATTTTTAAATTTATATCAAACCAATGTTTCATTGTGATGTACCTAAGTTGATAATTACTTATATTTAGTATTGCAACAAATATGTGAAACTCTTAAAATTTGAAGAAACTAAGGAGTATCTAATTATTTTATTGATGAACGATTCGGTGGGTAAATTGGTCTAACACGTAATTTTGACTTCCTGGAATCCAAACCATCTAATCTTGAATAAAAATTTCGACGACTTTAGTTTGTCTATTGGTTTCCCTCCATATATAAAAGGATACGACTTTTGTTCTTCCAATTAAGTAACAGATATAATTACGTATAAATTCAGCAAAAAAAAAAAAGAGTAGCTGAAAATCGAAATCTCATTAGCCATCAAAATATCTATCTATAGATTTGATTAACACATTTCTTTTTCATTTTCTGTTTGGAGAAACCATGGTCGATCTTATTTACATTTTATATATACACATCTATATATACATTATACATGCATGAATATTTAAACACGTATTTCCAGGAGAGGCAAGTTGTATATTTTAATAATGCAATTTAATGCAAATAGCTTGTACGGAGTATTATAAAAACATGCACTTGCCAAAAGTATATGTTATAAAAAAAAACGAATCATTACAAAAATAAATAAAAGTATAGTCCACTTGGCAATATTATATCCATCCCACTTGCTCTTTTTCTTCTGACAAAGCAGCCACGGGGCCCAACTCTGATGACATGGCTTCATTATAGTCACTATTTTGATTTTTGGATACGCCTACTTGTCATTATAAATAATAGATTTATTACTCTATTGTTGGTTGCAAGTAATAATCTAGTATTATTTTTTGCGCAATTTGATCTTCGGTTCATTGCATCCGTTCGGTTTATTTTCCACTGTAATCCATGTGCGAGCCCCAAGAAAATTTTACCCCTCTTGCATTATAATATACATTTGTTTATAATAATAATTGGAATTCGAATAGTGAATATTTCTAAGATTCTTTTCATGAATCGTTATTCTCTGTCAAATTGGCGATAAATAAATCTAACTAGAGACAAAGGAAGGGGTCCTCGAGTCTCGAACACGACCCATTCTCTTCTATTTTGTATAAATACATTTTAAAAACCATACTGGTTCCCATTAAAATACTGAGATTATTACAAGTTATATAACCCATTAACCCTACATATATTACATTATATTCTTTCTCTTTCGATCTAAATTTGTTGATGGAAGAGGGAACAGGTTTTTCTCTGGGACGGCCAAACGGAGGATACGGTGGAGGAGGAGGAGGAGAGCGAGGGCCATCGAGGCTGAAGTCGGAGCTGAGATTCTCCGGCGGTAGTAGTAGTAGTCATCAAGAACATAACTCTCTACCGCAAATAGCAGAGGTTGAAGCGGCTGCGGCGGCTATAAACGGTGTTGCATCGACGAGTATGAGTTTTGGGAATAATCATAACAATTGGGACAACTCTTCTTCTCATATAAGTTTCACCATTGATGAACCCGGAAAACGGTCCAAGACCACCGACTTTTTCACCTTAGAAACTCAGGTATTTTCTATGATTATGTGGCTACCATATGTATTTAATTTATGTTGTATGTATATCAATTAGATCAGCCTTTTATACAATAAAGTTACCAAATCTTGATTTATTCTAGACAAAGGGGGAAACAAATGCATAATCTCAAAGTTGAGCGTGTTTTTGTGTAGTTCGTATAAGCTTGGAGAAGGTTTATGATTGATCTACAAATGGTTCACAAGTTGTATGATGACAAATGATATTACAGTGTGTGTAGTATAGTATGAAATATATAATACAAGCTTGGTTTCCATAAAGTAAGCGCAATAGGATTCCAAGTTGGAATAAATGTCAATAAGGATGACATATGTCACAAGTTCATGTGTGTCTAAATAATGCTGTGGCTATATTGTCTTTAGTTGACATGATATGGTTTTGATTCAGTTCAGCATGCCGCAAACGTCTCTGGAAATGACGAGAATGGAGAGTTTGATGAACATCCCAGAGGACTCAGTGCCTTGTAGGGTTAGAGCCAAGCGCGGTTTCGCGACTCACCCGCGTAGCATCGCTGAAAGGGTTAGTTTTCATGTTATTACTTTGATATACAATGATTATTACATAAGTATATATGCATGATCATCTATACTTTTTATTGCACATCAAAGAAACACAAGAGTCTAATGAAGTTTTATATATGATTTGGTTTGCGTGTGTATATATGTTTATATATAGGAGAGAAGAACGAGAATAAGCGGCAAGCTGAAGAAGCTACAGGAACTGGTGCCCAATATGGACAAGGTAAGGAGTCCTAATTAGTAATGTTGGTGTAATTGATGAGATTATATATCTATTATTAACGTTTGAAAATTCTGGCAGCAAACGAGCTACGCAGACATGTTGGATTTGGCTGTTGAGCATATAAAAGGTCTTCAACACCAAGTAGAGGTGCGTTCTTATACATATGAATCTACATATACAAAGTGACATTTCTCACACTGAAGTAAAGGTGATCATATTCCATATATATGTTGAGAAATTGCAAAACACAATTAGCCAAATTATGGTATGTTGGAAATTGGTATATAGTGTCCAATTGACCAAATCTTGATTCAATCTTTTACTCTACAGACGTTTTTCGAAAAACTAGACTTCATCTCCTAATAGGGTTTTTTTGTTGGTCTCTTAACAAGGTTTTAAGTATATGTTCATTTATATAATTTCACCCTACTAACATATATTTCATTATATATACAGTATCTTCCTCTTTTCCTTAAAAGCTTTCATAACATAAAAATACATTAATAGATGGTTTTGTTTGTATGTGTAACTCTTTTAAGGTTAATTAACCTCAAACATGATCAAAAACCATCTATTTGTATGTGTATGTAGAGCGATTAATGTATTAATGTATAGTTTTTTTATCATGTTTGAGGTTAATCTTAAAACCATCTATTTGTAAACATGTCTGCGTAGCTCGTATGTGTACAAATGGATGGTTTTTGATCATGTTTGAGGTTAACCTTAGATTATAACTTATAAGGTCCTATATAAGTTCACATATAATGGTTTTATACAAGTAGTATATGAAGAAATAATCGAGTTGAATTTATATTAAACTTATAGTCCATAAATTTAATATAAAAAAAACTTAATAGTCCATAAAAGCACATACAAATGGAAAACGAGATTTTCAAAACATATAGAGTTTGTACGAGATTTCACACATATGTAATTATGTTTTTTTAGCATTAATTAAATGTTTATATTCGATGATTATTTGTCATGTGCAGTCACTGGAAAAGGGGATGGAGAGATGTACTTGTGGGGCATGCAAGAAGCGATGATGAATTTTACGATATGTTTCCAAACATGATCCAAGAAAGTATAGAAGAAAAAAAGAAACACAACAAAAAAGATATTCATTATATATGATTTTGGAGGTCCAAAGAAAGTGATGGTGATAAATTAATGAAGTCTAGTTTTGGCTCATTCTCAAAGTCTTGACCATAAACAACTTATAAATTCGATAAATCGAATTTTCCAAAAAAAAAAATTAGTCAATTTTAACTTAGAACAAACCCCATTATTTGAGATTTAAAGAGATGTGTCATGTGTGTCTGTGTGTATTGTATTCGATCCTCGTTTTGGCCCCGTGAATTCATTTTGTTTTACTCATTATGGGTTCATAACCGGTTACAACTTAAGTGTTTATTCTCTCAGAAATTAATCTTACCTAATCAGGAGTACAATTGTTCTAACACACCATTCATTATAAATAGAGAAAGAGGAGGCAAACTTTGCAAACACTATAACAAATTGGTATATATTTAGTAGACAAAGTATACAAATTTGAAGAAGTTTGGATCTCGTTTCTTACACCAATTTATAACAGAATTAAGAAGAGCAAAGCTCAAATTTTCTTTTAAGTTGTGTAATTTTATTTACACAACTGAAAATTAGGTTTAGTTTATAATACTATTTAACGGTTTTATTTCGGAGCGTGATTTCAGTTAAAATAAAAAAAGCTTATGATGGAAAACTAATTCATGCGCAAAGTGACATTTATTGCGCTCATAAAACAGCCTAATAAAAGGCAAAACCTCTCTCTCTCTCTCACACACTTATTCCCGAAATAGAAGAAGTAGTGACGGTGAGAGATGTCGGACGATGAGAGAGGTGAAGAGTACCTCTTCAAGATTGTTATCATCGGTGATTCCGCCGTCGGCAAATCCAACCTCCTCACCCGCTATGCCCGTAACGAGTTCAATCCGAATTCAAAGGCCACGATCGGCGTCGAGTTTCAGACTCAGAGCATGGTCATCGACGGCAAGGAGGTCAAAGCTCAGATTTGGGATACCGCCGGCCAGGAACGCTTCCGCGCCGTCACTTCCGCCTATTACCGTGGCGCCGTCGGAGCACTCGTCGTCTACGACATCACTCGCAGCTCCACCTTCGAGAACGTCGGTCGCTGGCTCGATGAGCTCAACAGTATGTTCCCCTTCTCTCGATTCCAAAAAAGTGTCTCTCTTTGTTGCTTTTTTCGATTAAAGTTTCAATTTTTGAGCGAGATCTGCAAATCGAGTGTTGATTTCGATTGGATTAAGTAGCAATAGTGATGCTGGTAGTGAGAACTTTTTAGATCTGAAGATTTATGGTGACTTCTTAAGAATTTGATTCAAAGTCAAGTCAAAATGATCTTCCTTTAATCTATCATAGTCACAATTGATTGTTGCCACAATGTTACACTCTTCAAGTAGGATCCTCGATGAACATTCTGAAGAGAAGTTAGTTGATTCATGATTCGTAATCAAAATACATTTGATGCACAAACTATCAGAATTCTTCTTTTTGACATGTTTGCATCTCTACTCCACTTTAGCTTCAAATTATGAAGGGTTTAAATTAGTTTGACAACAATGATGAATCTTTCTGTAGCTCACTCTGATACAACGATAGCGAAGATGCTCATTGGAAACAAATGTGATCTCGAGAGTATAAGAGCAGTGAGCGTTGAGGAAGGCAAAAGCCTTGCAGAGTCTGAAGGTTTGTTTTTCATGGAGACATCCGCGCTGGACTCGACCAATGTGAAGACGGCCTTCGAGATGGTTATTCGCGAGATCTATAGTAACATTAGTCGAAAGCAACTCAACTCTGATTCTTACAAAGAGGAACTAACCGTGAATCGTGTTAGCTTGGTCAAGAACGAGAACGAAGGGACAAAGACGTTTTCTTGCTGTTCGAGGTAACATCTCTCTGTACCGGTTTTTCTCTTGTCCTGAGGGTTGGTTTCGGGTTTGAGTCGTGTCGCCGGATAAACTTATAGAAAGACAGAAACATTATTTTGGTTCTCAATTGAAATTAGAGAAAAAAAAAAGAGAGAAAGGTGTTTTGAGTTTCTTTGTTATAGATACAGAAGAAAATGTAAGCAATTTGGACAAGATTGGTCAAGTGTATAAGTTATACTGTCTCGTTTCTACTTCCTACTTTGTAACTTTTGTAAACTTGCGAGTGTTAAAAAATCAATTTTGATATTTTCCAACTGCTCTTTTGTTCGGTGGTCCGCAAATTTAGTAGCTAAAACAAACGACAAAAATATCTATTTCAATTTAAATGTATAAGATGTTTAAAGTAACAATCATGTTTGTGTCACTTCACCGTGCTAATACGCGTTTGGTATTTAACAATTGTTTTCGTCTTATGTCTATTTCACATTCTGAAAAAAAGTGTGTGATGCTTTCTTCATAATGTCAATATAATACGATAAACAGTTATAATTAAAACTTGAAACTGTGGAAAAACTTGATAATGATGACTAGGTTTGGAAGATGGAACTGAAAAAAAAAAAAGTCAGCCTCTGATTTAATGGTTTCCCACCCACAGATTTAGCAAATGAAAAAAACAATGCTTGTTTTAGCTTTTATTATTGTCCCATTTAGAAACACACAGAAAATTAAACAAATACGAAAATAATTAAACAGTGATTATTATCATCAGACTATATTAGTCTCTCTCATTGTGACCTCCAATACTTGGCCATTTCGAAGCCATTCTTACCATAGTGATAATCTTCGATGGTCATATCAATCTCGGCTTGTGTATTCATCACGAACGGACCGTACTGAACCACCGGTTCACCTATCGGTTCTCCAGCTATCAACACAAACCGTAACTTCTTCGAAGATGACTTGTTCCACACGCTAACACCGTCATTTCCTGTTCCGAACACCACGACGTTGTGTGCTGAAACAGGGGAAGAGTTTGATGAGCCGAATACGGCTCCGCCTTCACCGCTTTCTATAACGTAAGCAAATGCGTTCCAAGATTCAGGAATGTTCTGGTGGATTTGAGATCCTGGATCGAGAGTGAAATCGAGGAACATTGTTGGTGTTCTTGTGTAAACAGGGGATTGGATTCCCATTGATTCTCCTGCTATGACTTTGACTTGGACACCGTTCTCTTCTGCCTTTGGTATGTCTGAATTCGACAGCTCTTGGTAATTTGGCTCTATCCTGTCGGAATCAAATTTAAAGAATCAATTTCCAGTTTTAGAAACTCCAAAAAAGGTCGAAATCTTTATAAGTTTTTGCTAGTGGGTCTTCTTTACATTTTCTCGTTGGAGGAAAGATTGATCCAAAGTTGTAAACCTTTGTTAACTTCTTCTTCAGGCATTTCAGAATGAATGATTCCTCTTCCTGCAGTCATCCACTGTAGAAACAGAAGCTTTTTAGGTTTTTTTTTTAAATCGTTGAATTATCGAATAAATTAATCAGCTAATTCTGTTTTCTTCTCACACCTGAACATCACCAGCATAGATTGTACCCTTGTGGCCTTTGAAATCTTGATGAGTAATTCCTCCCTACAAAAAATAATATACACTATTAGAAGAAGATAATTAAAAAAAAAAGAGAGTTTATAATAAAATAGACGTTTGGTTAGAAAACCAAATAACAAAAAGAAGAAGAAGAAGGTATCTCTAATCTTTCTTTTACCTCTAGTACATATGTTACAGTTTCAAAACCTGTTCATCATAATTTTCACCAAATGTTAGAGATATTACATAAAACATGTTTTTTTTCTAATTCATCTATGTATGTAATGTGTATATGTGTACGTATGTGATCTGACCTCGGTGAGGATGATCAGGGAATCCAGCTGGAGGCGAAACTGCTCCGAAGATTAAAAAAGAAACAGAGTAAAACGTAATTAAAGAATGATCAATAAATGTCTTCCATTTTTTAATGGATAACAAATAAATAAACAAATAAAATGTCTTCTGCTTCCTAGAAAACATACCGGAGAATTCATCTAGCATCAAGAACGGATCTAACAACTTCTGCTCACTCCTGAATTGATATACACCACAAGAGAAAAAAACCCAGAAGGTTTTTATGAGACTTGATCATAACCATTGAATTTTCCTGAGAGAGATAGAAAAAGAAGAAAGATTAAAGAACCTGGAAATGCCACGTCTAACGACGGCTCCGTCGCCTTCTTTCTGAAGCTTGGCGAAGACTTTCTTGATTACAGATCTTGACACGAAGTTTTGGGAAGAAGAAGACATTGATTTGATGTTTCTGATAAACCTGAATGAAAACAAACCTCCAAGCGAATTTGCTCTGTTTATGGCAGCTCTCATATACTCAACTAAAGTCGTCTTTTTTTTCTTGTTCTCGTTAATATACAAATTCAAGGTGTGTGTTTTGGTTTCAGGATTGTGTGTGTCTATTTATAGAGAGAGAGGAACAAGACGGCTTCGAAAGGTTTGTGGGCCCTAATGGGCTTCAAAAAGCTCACACCGCCGCATTGTTTGGAACCAGAACGCTGATTGCATTGTGTCATGCTCATGTCATTATGATCCATGCCTGACGTCTTATAATTCTGATAAGTTTTTTTGTGTGCATACAAGTTTTTTTTTTAATTCCAAAAATTTCTCTCTAAATATTGGTAGTGTCTATATCTAGTTTCCAATTTTTGTTTTTTTTTATTTGTTTTTGGCATGTTGTGATAAATAAACTGAATTAATATTGAATCTTTTTTTTTTGTAACTGAATTAATATTGAATCTTCTTATCTTGTTCAGCTTAAAGAGTCTTCAAATTTCATTTTTCCAAGGAAACCTAGATTTTATTCAGGTTATTGATATCTTTGTATTCGGTTCAGTTCTGAATCTTTTGGCTACTGTCTAAGTTTTTGTGTGGATTCAATTATAAGTTAGCTAATAGAGTAGTGAAAGGTTCTAGACTTTAAGCTAGTGAATAAGACAACGTAGTAACTTTAAAAATAAATTAATCTACTTTAGCCAATCTGATTTGAAACTTTCAGATAATACCCAAATTTAGGTTTTTAAATCATGGATTAACCTCGAAGACCAGTTCAAAAGGTAATGAATAAGATTAGCTCTAGGCTTCTACTGGCAACGTGTAACTTAGGGACTTGACACGTGTCATTTTTGCATACATACATTCATACGTAACCTTGATGTCACCAAATGTTGGGTATAGGAAACTTTATATGTCTATCTGTATTTAAAAACTGGCAAGTATGCGTTCGCATTTAGAAAAATATTTGACTAGATAAACCAATTTAAACGATTCATGCTTACGTCATCATTTGATTGTCACTTTCGTTACAAATCAAATAGAAATGATTTGGCCATTATTTTTGTTTGGATAATCAGAAACAAAAAGTAAGAGAATCGAATTGTTTTTTTTTTTTTTTTTTTGAAAAGAAGAGAATCGAATTGTTTTTCTCCTTTCTACATTTGTGGTAAACAAAGTTAAGTGAAAATTTAACTGACACCCAATTTTAAGTGTGTTTACCACCTTAGTCAAATCCAACACTCGAGTATGGGATTAGTAGTTATAATCTTTTCTTAGTTTTCCTATGTTGCAAAGTTGCATAACTCTATTTTCGTAAGACTAAAATATATTATCTCATTTTGTGTTTAATAAACACTCGAGTGTTACACGTTTATTTTTATATCCTGGATTTTACTTACATGCTAAATTTAAACAACATAATCATTCAAACGATTTAGAGGATCTTTTGTAATGTTTTAGACGATCTACAGACAAACTCACTGGAATCCTGAAAAAAAAAAACACAATCGTCATTGTTTAACAATTTTGATGTGGCCGTTGGATCATTTTAAAACTCTTTCTCGTTGGTAAATTCATAGAACCAAAAAGTAAATGGTATATCACTTTCAGTTCTTACATAAGTATTCGAGTTAATCCAAACAAATGTGACATATAATATGCCTAAGCAATACGTGTGGTCAAGCAATATGGACATCGTTGTAAGAAAATGAACATTAACTATCGACTTTCTGAATTTTGGTGAATTATAAATATCGGTTTTTATCATTTGGCAAGGAATTATATTGTTTAATAAGATGGACCCCCCTAAATTTATATAAGATTAGTACTTTATCATTTAACGAAAGACCAATTATTCTTACACGCTTCCTCGTTTCTGTTCGCCAGTTGGCTACCTAAACTTATGAACAAAAACGACTTAATATAACTAATTAAAATTGTATACCTTTCTATACAGTGGTTCCGTTTTTGGTTAAGTGTGTAATTTAGAGATTTTAGACGTTTATATACGTATGTATACTATGTTTAGAGTTCAAAGCTTCATTCTACGCATAATTTTGGATTTGAATCCAAATTATGACACAACGACATCTATATTCAAGCACTCAGTTACAAGTCCCGACTATTCTATTTTAGTGAATGTTAAATCATTATTTGTAGCCATCAAAAATTGTAGATTTTTAAATAAATGATTTGTAACCGGTGAGCGTGACTGATGAGATGTAAATAAATATAGAGGATTTTAAGTAAATTAAAAATTTAATCAACATAATGTCATCCTTTCGTCATTGTACCTTGGACATATATATCTAGACATAGAAACCAAAATCACAATCACGATTTGACTACAAAATTTATTGATCTGTCACTAGGAAAACAATAGTTGACAAATTAGTAAAAATAGGATTAAAAATCCAATCAACTCGTTTAGTTATTATATTGACAATTAGATATCCTAACCAAAACCGAGACTAATCATGAATGAGATTTGGGTGTCTTAGCAAGCAACAAAACTTAGACAGAACTGTTTAAGCTTAAAGGCAAAGCCATGAGAAATCTACATTATCTTAAAAGTATGTGTTATAATGGGATCATTATGAATCAACTATCACAAACTAGAAAGACATTAACTTTGAATGTCTCTTGTTTAATGGAAAGTTCTAAAAGTCAAACATCTAGAAGCTCTATGGGTGTGGTGGTGTTTCCACTATTTTCTGCATTTATGGGATCTTCTTCCCCACCAGAAACCCACAATCCTAAAACATACACACAGAAACATACAGTTGAGGCATATAAGGATATATAAATATAGAGTATATACATTTAAAAAAAAAAAATTGATTTGACTTTCTAAGGATCCTCTTTTCTCAGTGAAGCTGAGTGCACTGCTTTAGGCCAAAAGATCACTAATTAACACAACATTGTATTTCTCTCACAAGCTGTTCATGATTGACTCTGTATAGTAACAACAAATCAAAAAGCTTGGAAAATTAGAGCTAATACATCAAAATCTGAGCAGAAACAGTAAGTCTAATGTTGGTTCTATCTCTGCTTCTTAGTCTTCTTAAGCTTTGGAGCTGGTGCCTTTGGACCATACAGACAGATACGTAGACTTCCGTCCAACACTCTCCGGTGGAAGCAGTTCTTATACAAATCCCAAAACTCGTCTCTGCAAAATGTCAAAGGTTCTATATTTCAGAATTTTATCTCAAAAGTGAAAAGTAAAGTTTAATGATGATGGGAATGACTAATGAAAGAGTGGAGAAACAAACCTGACTTGGGGCAATGTGAATAAGGAAAATCCCTTGACATCTGTGTGCAAGTCGAGCACAATCATATCTAAACGTGAAAGCCCTAATGCCTCTATGTCGATTAGCTTTTTGATTCTGCACACAGAAGCAACAGGAAAATCAGCCAGAAGGATATGACTACAGTATATACAAATACGCAAAAGAAAATGAAAATTTACTAACCTGCTCGGTGTGCCGCTCCCAATATTAACCCGTTTCTTCAACAGAGAAACCTGCATCAACAATGAACTTTGAGTTAATAATTTGAGTCGTATAACAGTGAGACTAAAGAAACCTACAACAGAATTGAGAACAACACACAATCAAAGATTTTGAAGAAGCCATTGCTTCCAAGTTCCAAACAAACAAAAAGAATGACTTATAGGAAATAGGATCAGACTGACGTGCAAAATAAAGATTGCTTCAGAGGCAAAAATGCCATCAACATTTTCTTTTTCTATCATCATATCCAAAACATAGATTAAAAAAACATTAACAGAAACAGAAATTTCAAGAACAAATATAAAAATAAAAGGCTACGATGTGAGATTTTTTACTATAAAACAAACTGAAAACGAGAGCTGGGGTCAGACTGACGTGCAAATATTTTGTTCAGCATTGCATATGCCTATGAAATATCGATATATCTTATCATCATTTCCCAGACTCTTAACATGAAAAATGAAAGAAAAAGAAAAGGATGAACAACAAAAAAAAATGATGCGTTTCACAATGGGATCAGACTGACGTGCAAATATGCTGTTCAGCATTGCATTTGCCTATGACATATCGATATATCTTATCATCACTTCCCAGACTCTTAACATGAGACAAAAGAAGAAAGGAATGAATTACATGAGCATTCTCTAACTCTCAATGTCATATATAATGGAGGATCAGACTGACGTGCAAATACATTTTCATCTGCAGAGCATTAGCCTTAGAAATTTCGTATTTTTGTCATCATATCCCCATAGTTTCACAGTAAGCAAGAAACACGAGAGAATCAAAACAAAAATCTCACACCGTAGGACCATAGATTGTCAAAGCCGTAAAGAGGTATCAAGAAAAACATAATTCATTTCTGATTTCTGTTTGAGAACTAATAACCTATGATTTTCAATTTCTTCTCTTTCTATATATGCATTGATTTAATTTCACTTCTCTAAAGACAAATACTTGTAAGAATAGAACACTACCTGTTCCTCAACCTTCAAATGCTTTGAGAACAACTTCACTGCTGGACATTGCTTAGTCAGTGACTGCAAACCCCTACACATATCATAAAAAAAAGGACTAGACTAAGCATCTTTGAATTCAATCAAGCAATAAACACATACAATTACACAATTTCACAACGATACCTTAGAAGTTCCAAAGATCTCAGAGCAGATGAGCTAATAACGAGAACAGATGGGCTTCCGGGTTCAACTTTCCCTTCAATAGTCTCTCCTTCACAAAGAGTCTCTCTCCATGAAGACCCACAAGACATCTTTATATGCTCTCCCAAGTTGCTTACATCTCGCTCCAAACTTTGTGATAACTCAACTATACACTTATCTGCAATCACCAAGAAAATCTGAAGTTTATAAAAACTTGGAAATTTGGGCATTGATAAGCGTAAACAACATTTTAGAGCTAAGATAAAACATAAAGGACAAACCTTTAATGGGATCGAGCTCTAAAGTAGAAACCCGGACACTAATGGCGGATTCAAGCTGATTCAAGAAGTAGCTAAGCTGTTCTGAAGCCGATGCCGGTTGTTCGTCGCCGTCGTTCTCGCTCTTCTGATCGTTTCTTTCAATGGTCTCATCAAAGGCAGGAGCTTTCGACTTCTTAATCTTCTTCTTCTTCAAATCTTTCTTCGGACCAAGTGATGGTTTCCGTTTACTTTTTCTATCCGCGGAGGGTTTTACCTCTGTCGTTGCCATGGTATTTGAAGTGATGCAGACAATGTAGAAGAGAAGCGGCGTTATAAAGAGTCACAAATTTAGGGTTTAGCAGTCTTGTTTTTCAACAGACTAAACCGTTCGTTTATAGAGATTTGCCAAACCGTTCAATAACCACTCAAAATTAGTCAAATAACCGGTATATTATTTCTTGGAAGTTGGAACATGTTTCTTCTACTTTAGCATTGGATGTTTTTATTCATTAGATAAACAACAAAGTCGAGAGAAAAGAGAAGTCTTAAACACACATTGAATGTGAAGAGAGTTTAAGCTAACGATGGAATCATTCCCATCTTCCTCGCATAAGCAAAGATACCACCAGCATCGATAACCGGTCCCGCATCACCGATCGCTTTCAGCTTATACTTTTTCCCGGTCGTGTGATTAGTCAATAAACCACCACTATCTCTCATCTCGATCGTCACCGTGTCTCCTGTCGTACACTCGTCGCAGACTCTAACCTCTGACTCAAGCGGAAACACCTCTCCTGTAGCCACCGAGTTACGGAAAAAGATCCTCGCGTAAGTCTCAGCAACAACGGCTTTAGCTCCGGCTGCTCCGAGACAGACCGGAGCGTGCTCACGTGACGATCCGCAACCGAAGTTTTCACCGGCGATTATGATAGAGTATTTTGATTTGATCTCTCCTGGCTCAACGAACCGGGTTGTGTGGAAGTCTGGTAGACCGGAGAGAGCGTTAGAGCCGATCTCGTCACGCTCTTGCTGGTTCGATGGGAAGATGCAGGCTTTGTCTGCTGGGATGATCTGGTCGGTGTCTATGTTGTCCTTCAAGACGTAGCAGAGACCGTGGAAGGTGGTTTTAGCTAGAGTTTCGTCAGAGTCGGATCCAGCGGAGGCTGTGGCACGTGGGATGATGAAGGATGTGCCACGTGAAGCGATGGAGATAGAAGAATGGGTGAAGGAAGTGGAACCGTTGATTTTGAGGAAAGGAGATCGGAAGGGAACGGAGGAAGAAGAAGGTTTGGTTGATGAGGAAGGTAAGGCTCGGGACAAAGTAGGAAGAGAAGACGCCATTGTTTTTGGCTCTATGGTCGAACTTGTCTAGTGACTAGTGAGTAACAGAGAGAAGAAAACAGAGAGATTATAAAAGGACAAAGTGCTTGATCCCTTGTATTTACGGATGTGCCACTTGGGAATTCTAAACGTGCGTTTTGAGACACAAGGGTAGGTCAAGGAGCTTTTATTCTTTCTTTCTCATCAGGATCAATTGGTAAACCGGCAAGGACATAAAAACTTGAGTTCGTGGTGTGAGAAAACAAAGGTCCGATTCGGTTATTATGACCGGAAGCTTGGGTGAGAAGAAGAGATGAGGAAACTCATAACTTAATCTTGCTTGCTATGGGAAAATATGCATTTATCAGGTGGTGAAACATCAAAATGTAGAGAATAAACTGAAAATAGAAGACTAAACCGATAGTCATATACATTCATAAAACATAACCCTTGAAAAAAACACACATCTACTAATTGTTCTTTTTATTTGGACGACACGATGGAAGGCGGGAAGCTGAGAATTACCCTTGAAGATATCTTTCGGTGGTAAGAGATCTCTCATGGGCATTGCATGACCCCTGCAAAACCAACAGAGCAGAGTATTAGAGAAATTAAAAAAAAAGAAGATAAGAATGTTACTGTGTTATACTATTGGACACTGAAAGTCTTATGGAAGTTAGCATGATATAGCAATGGAAAATATCAGCCAAAAACATACTTCTGCACAAGTCAAATACCTTCCAAACAACAAAAGCATAGATTAAGACTAGAACAAGTCAGTAACATCCTCACACAAAATCAACGACTTGGCTCCTAAACTACACCTTTTTTTTTCAAAAGAAACCAGAACACAATCATCTCTATGAGAACCATTGAGAAGAAGAAGAGGGAAAAACTAAGTTTTGCATCAATCAATTCACACGAAACCAGAAAACAACCATTGGGAACAAGATGAGAAAAAGGTCTACTTTTTTGTATCAATATCAAACCTTTCCTAGATTATCCAACAATTTGATCTCTTTACAAATCTGTCAACAATCCTCATCTCAAACACTATTTCCATTTCCAGATATAAAGAGTTTGGTTACATGATACCTGATCGGTGAAATCAGGCAGCTGCAGATGGAATCATTCCTGCTTTCCTCGCATATGCGAAAATACCTCCGGCGTCAATAACCGGTCCGGCGTCACCAATAGGCTTCAGCTTGTACTCTTTCCCCGTCGTGTGATTGATCAGAATGCTATCACCCTCCCTCAACTCGACCGTCGCAACATCCCCGGTTTTGCACTCATCGCAAACCCTAACCTCCGAATCCAGCGGGTAAATCTCTCCGGTAGCCACCGAGTTCCTGAAGAAGATTCTCGCATAAGACTGAGCCACCACTGCCTTAGCTCCCGCCGCACCAAGACAAACCGGCGCATGTTCACGAGACGACCCGCATCCAAAGTTTTCGCCGCCGATGATGATTGAGTACTTCGTCTTCATCTCCCCTGGCTGAACGAATCGCTCCTTGTATGCGGCCGGAAGTCCGATTAAGGCGTAGGAGCCGAGCTTCTCGTACTCGTCTGGGTTCGAAGGGACGAGGGTGAGGAACTCGGCGGGAATGATCTGGTCGGTGTCTATATTGTCGCCGACGACATAGCAGAGCCCATGGAAGGTCTTCCTCTCTTGCGGCTCGGCGGCGGAGCGCGTGACGAACGCCGAGGATGCCTCTCTTGCTGCGACGAGGGGTTTGAAATTGAAAGAGGCGGGGGAGGAATCGAATCTGAGAAATGGAGAGCGGAAGGAAGCGAAGGAAGATCTGTTCGGAGAAGCTAGGGTTCGGGACAATGTAGGGTTCGCAGATTGCAGAGAAGCCGCCATGGTTCGTGATTGCTGTGGTGAAGAATGAAAGCGAGAGAGAGTCAAAGTGTTAGAATGAGAAAACAATTACACAAAAACAAATGCGCTTATATTAATGGGAATTCGATTACTACTGTATTTACTCTCTTCTTTTATTTACCAAAATGCGTTTTAGGTGAAATATTTTAATATTTTTGTAACAGTTTCATAATATTTTTATTATAATTAACAAAGGATTTGTTTTATTTATCTTCTGTTGATAATATAATAATAACAAAGGATTTTGTTGGGGTGGGAACTGTAAAACACCCGAAATCCATGTATGTAAATAATCGATTCTAAAGTTAAAGGGTCAAAAAGAGAGTGAATCAAAACTCCGAGATTCTATAACATTTTCAATATAAGTCCCTGTGGTTCCTTTGATTTTAAAAGTTAAGTCCCTCAAGAAGTAGCTTTTTGCCTCATCCATTTAGTAGCCGACCATTTCTCACCAGACAGAACCTCACATCCCCCATGTATGCTCCTCGGATCTGACTGTCCATCGAGTCCCTGAATATAACACAAGACACAAGACGAGACTGAACACAAACCAGTCCAGATGATTCATGTTTGTGTCGAGAAAGAGAGAGAGAGAGAGAGATTGAAGAAACAAACCATGCTCCAGAAGAGAACTGCGTCTCCTTTGATGGGTTTCACAGAGATGCCTTTCATGATTTTGCCACCACACGTGCATTCACTATCATCACCAGCCTGCATTGCCAAGAGAGAGAGAGAGAGAGATACACATTGGTTTCTTTTTTCAGAATGTTTTCATAACATTAGAGAAGAAACAATTGTGTATTAGATATACCAAAGGGAAATAAGTTTCTCCTCCTTCGACGTCATCTGTTAAATACATTAGCATCGTTGCTACGCGCTGACCACCACGCTTCAAATTGAACTGTGTCGGAAAACATAACAAAAGAAACGAGGAAGTATGATGAACACACCAAATATAACAAAATGTTCATAGATCATAAACAAGAAGATCAAGTAACTATCGAACTAAACTCCTTTGATCAAACAAAAAACTATACACTGCTTTACGATTTTTGACCAGGGCAAGAGCTTCCTCCATCAATCTACTAATGATATATACATGAAATAGCAACAAAGGCTTACAGTGTCAGAAAAGTAATCGTGATGCGGTTTGTAAAACTGTTTCGGCTCGTATCTGCACTGCAGCAGATTTTGATTCATTAAATCAAGAAAACAGCTTTATTTGCTCTAATGTCAAGAGTAGTGTGAGGTTGCACTTGTGCACGCACCTTAGGACTTGAATGAGTTCCCCATTTTCTGCCGGTACTTGAGAAAAGACTGAGATTCGCTTTTCAATTGCCTGATAGCATAAAAAGAAAAGTAGTTTACAAAAACGTCAAGTTGACCCAAATGAAGAGACACAACCTTTTCAAGATATTAGAGAGTGACCTATACCTGTATCATTGGGTAACTTCTTTCTACGTGAGTTAGAAACATTCCCGAGCTTGTCCTCACATCACTTTTAACTCCCTAAGCAAGCAAGAGGAAGAGAATGTATAAGACTCTACTTGCGTCCAATGTTTGATTGAAACAGTAGAACAATCTAAGGCAGAGAGTGGAGGTAATTAAATTATACTTCGTCTATGAAACAAGTGTACAATAGATTTCTATTTCTAGGGAATGAAAAAAGGAAGCTATAGTTCAGTACCTTTCCGGTTTTTACGTCAACAACCGTGGAAATCTGAAGCCGAGGCCGCGCGATTGCTTTTAGGTATTCACATTCCTGCAGTTGTATAAAAAATGTTAATGGCAATACTCCTAGAACTGAGCCTAAGGTTTTGCTTCTCTTTTAATCTTATCTTATCCTTAATATAATGAAGAGGGTAAGAAAAAGTTCAATCTCTAATATAAGGCCTCACCGTCAACATGAACAGACTATTCTATGATCAGTTTGCTACAAAGTTAATGAACTAAAACAAATCTAAGGGCATGTGATATACCTCGGAGCTTAGAAAGTTATGAAGCACAATAATACGAGGGGACCAACTAACTACTTCAGGCTTGACCTGCACTAAAGCAAATAAACATTAGCTTGGAAGCAACCAAAATGGACACTGATTTTACATTTGCAATACAGAAACAATACATTTGTTTGGTGAAAAAACAATGACAATTCCTTTAAAACTTGAAGCAAAACAGTGGCCATGAGAAAGAAAAAATTAGTTGCAAAATGGATATGATAGACTTACATAGCCAATACGTAACATTTCTGCATCTTTGTCATTTGCCCACCGGGAAACATCTGAAAACAAACGAGTCTTGTCGTTATTTTTTCCGTAACATAATTTATCCTCAAACTAAGGTCTCCAAGTCTTGTCCTAAGGCTAAGATTCCGATAGTCCGATTGGCATTTTATTGTATTAACCTATATGCAAGGTTAACTTTGGTCAGAAATGATCACACGAACCTCGGAGATAACGAGAGTTCTGTCCCCGAAGCCCTCTTAGGGATGGAAACCCAGTTCCTGAGATAGGAAGAAGAAGAAGCTGCTGAGAAATCGAAGGAAACCACAGCAAAACAAGCAACAGAACATCACAAATATCATCTCTTCACTATATTAAGCATAAACTACAACTGATCTAGTCTTGCAAATTCCATGACATAACTAGTGTTCCCACTGCAAAGTCCTCTCAATCCCTTATTCAATGTAAATCCCAGGAAGAACATAACAGATATTTGAATCAAAGACATTCAATCTACAAAGACATATTTAACAATATTTGCAGTTCTATTTGTAAACACGTATCCACAGATAAACACACAAAAAACCTACACAAATGGGAAGAAAGAGGAGTTACCGTACGAATCTTCCAATCTATTTATAAAGGCCAATTGTAACAAGGCACCTGCAGATTCCGGGGAAAAAAAGAAACACAATCTCCATGAGTTTACCAAAGCCGTTTCAGTTTCTCATAAAGTCAATTCCATAGTCGTCTCTGGATTAAAGAAAAAACCCAAATTTCGAACTAGAATCACGAAAATGACAAGCCATTTCCGCTGGGCAGAGGAAAAAAAAAATATAAACTTTGAAGATCAAAAGTCGAAATCAAATGTGCAAAGGCATAATGATTTGCGTACAAGGGTCGACTATAAATAGAGAAGGAGAGAGAGAGTACCGATGATCATTCCGACAGTGACAAATGTCAATAGACCGAACACGATCTTCATGGCAGGAGCCATGTCTCCTTATTCTCGATCTCCGACCAAAAAAAAAAAAAAAATTGAGAGAGATAGAGAATCTGAGAGACTAGTAACAGTTCTAACAGAAGGAAAAAAAAGAAGAGAGGAGCTTGAGATTTGGGTGGAGAAACGTCAGAGGAGTTTCTTAAAAAGAGATCTCTATGTAGCTCTTTAAAAAGTCTTTTCTTTGTTTTTTTCTTTGCGCTTTCTTCCTTCCCTTCTTTTTCTTTTCTTTTCTGCTTTTTCTATTTCGTGTTTTTTTGGAAAAATATTCAAAAGTATATATATTTTCACTATATTAGAACTAATGACATTAATATGAATTAATTTGATTAGAATAATTAAATATCCCAATAATTAAACACCAACAATGAGACCGGTAGGTACGATGACATTTGTAATTTTTAAGTAGCCAATGATTTTCTGCTGAACTGTTCTAATGGCTTTGGTGTGACAAGTCAAATACATCGTGGGAATCTGAATCATGCTCAAAACATTTTCGAAGTAGCTGTAAATTTAGTATGATTTTTCTTATTTGAAAATATTGAATATATAATGGTTGAATTGATGAATGTGTTTGCTAATAAATTGAGCAAAGTAACGCACCAAACTAATTACAAAATTTATCGCCATTTTGTAATTTCTCCAAATACAGAAAATTGGTGTGTAGTTTAATTAACAACTAGTACTAATAAATTACTAAACTAATCGACCGTCCGTCTCCGATATATATCCTATAAAGATATTTAACCGCGACGCGTTGTCCACAGTCTCCTTCTTTCCCTTTCTCTCCGATTTGTTCCCGTCGGTTGCGTCATGTCGTCGTTTGTTCCGCCGACTCTCCGTCGTCACCGATGCTTTTCCGTAGTTTCGATTCTCCTTCTGCTAAGTCTCTCGGTAGTGGCGGCCGACGATGTGTCCTGGACTGGCGATTCCGGCCTCGAGACTCCTGGCTGCACCAATAAGTTCCAAATGGTAATTCGATTTTTGTTTATGACTCTTCTTTGGAGTCATTGCTTCGTATTCACTCACCCTCCGGTTCACCGGAGTTTCGATTGATCGATTTTGCTTTTACTCGTTTCTGGTTTTTAAAAAAAAAAAAATAAACAAGTGAGAAGACCTGAATCGAATCTTAAATCTCATTGTTGAATACAGGTTAAGGTCTTAAATTGGGTTGATGGTGTTGAAGGTGACTTCCTTACCGGCTTAACTGCTCAGTTCGGAGCATCGTTGCCTTCTGCTGCTGATCAGAGCGTTAGATTTCCGGCGGCTTTTGTCGATCCTCTAGACTCTTGCTCCAATCTCTCTTCCAGGGTCAGTTTCTCTTCTTCTTGAATTAGACAATGCAATCCATTCTCTTGTGTACTGAGTTTGGGCAATGTTCGTTGTTGTGGTTTCAGTTAGATGGACATATTGCCTTGTCGATCCGTGGCAATTGTGCTTTCACAGAGAAGGCCAAACATGCCCAGGCTGCTGGTGCTTCTGCTCTTTTGGTCATTAATGACAAAGAAGGTTTGGAATCTTACAATACGGTTTTTGGATTTGACATTTTTCGTGTTTTTTTTATTAGCTTTTGTATGTATCGTGTAATTTAGTCATGATCTGTTGTCAGATCTTGATGAGATGGGATGTATGGAGAAGGACGCTTCTCTAAACGTGAGCATACCTGTCTTAATGATCTCTAAGTCAAGCGGGGATGCTCTCAACAGGTCTATGGTAGACAAAAAGATTGGTGAGACGTTTTTGATTTTTGCAGTTTAGTTTTCTCAGCATTGACTTGTGTTGATACTATTCTTGTAAAAAACTCTCTCTTTCTAGGCTAAAGTCCTTTTTTTTTTTTTAATGAATTGCAGTTGAGCTTCTGTTGTATGCACCAAATCGTCCTACTGTGGACTTCACTGCAGGGTTGTTATTGCTCATGGCTGTTGGAACTGTTGTCGTTGCATCACTGTGGTCAGAGCTTACAGATCCTGACCAAGCTAATGAATCTTACAGCGTATTAGCAAAGGTTAGCATCTTTTAAATTCTTGTTTGGTGCTATGGTTTCATTTCATATCCTATGTACATTTCCCAGATACTTTGCGTAGCTTCATAAGTCTGTGGATTTGGTGATCGCAACTTCAATGTATATGACTCGGTAGCTGTTATGATATTGAGTTACCTATATGTGTTTTCAAATTAAGGGTGATTGAGTTAAAACTTGCTTTTTCTCCAGGAATTTTCTGGTGCTGGAACCAGAAAAGATGACCCAGAGAAGGAAATCCTTGATATAAGTGTCACTGGTGCTGTATTTTTTATAGTGACAGCCTCCATTTTTCTGCTGCTCCTTTTCTACTTCATGTCATCATGGTTTGTATGGGTCCTCACCATATTCTTCTGCATCGGTGGCATGCAGGTAATTTCATTAACATTCCGGTGATTTAAACATGTGTAAAACATTAAAATATATTGATTGAATGTATATTTGCTACTTTTCCATCAATTTAACAAAGTAGGTTTTGATTTCAGGGTATGCATAACATCATTATGGCAGTTTTATTGAGGTACTTTAAATTAATCCTAAATATCTCACGGCTCTCTTTTTCTGGTTAACGTATCTTAACAAATATATGCTGTGATCCGCCTGCAGAAAATGCAGACATCTTAGTCGGAAATCTGTGAAGCTCCCTTTGCTTGGGACTATGTCATGGATGTCGCTTTTAGTGAATATTTTGTGTGTGGCGTTTGCTGTTTTCTGGTTTGTTGAACGGCACACATCGTATTCTTGGGTTGGGCAAGACATCTTGGTAAAGCTCTCTTTTCTTCATGTACTCGTTGCTTTTCGAAGTCATCATTCCTCTCATGGGTTCTCTTATGACTGCTTTATCTATCAACTTAGTTTTATATTCCTCTCTTTCCCTATAGTAAGGGGCCATGTAGAAAAGTTTTGGCACTATGTGTAATATATTCGTTGTCATATTGTTGACAGGGCATCTGTTTGATGATCACAGCCTTGCAAGTGGTTCGATTACCTAACATCAAGGTAGTTAATCTGGCTTGTCATGTGGTGATAATATGATGGGGTCTCTGTTTTATGCTGATAGTTTTCTGTAATCCAGGTTGCTACTGTACTTCTTTGCTGCGCCTTTGTCTATGACATCTTCTGGGTCTTCATATCACCATTGATATTTCACGAGAGTGTTATGATTGTGGTGAGTTTCTATCGCAGTGTCCATAATTCTATCATTTCTATTGTTATGATCAAATTGTCCAGGTTAAGTGATGTAGCGATACTAGAAACTGGACATGTAACTTGATATCAGTTATGTTTTGACAAATGAATAAAATGTGCGTGAGAAATCTGATCTACTATAAAGAAATGGAATGCATCATTGACTTTGCAGTTTTCTAAACTTTAATTTTCTCATACTCCATCACATTACATCATTGCAAAGTTGCAGAGTAGTATTTTCTTATTTGAGATTCCTTCTTTGTAGGTGGCCCAAGGAGACAGCAGCAGCGGTGAGTCCATTCCGATGTTACTAAGGATTCCTAGGTTTTTTGATCCGTGGGGTGGTTATGACATGATTGGTTTTGGGGACATCCTCTTCCCCGGTTTGCTCATTTCCTTTGCTTCCAGGTACTTTTAGTCAGTTACATTCTTAGAGCTCGAAGAACAAACTTGGAATTCCATTTTTACCGTAATATCTCCAGAGTTCTTCTCTTCCAAAACCCTCTCAACACATACATCAGAATGCATTCTCAAAGATTCTCTTATGTTTTGTTCAGTCCTCTCCGACGGTTAATTCTTGCTTTTTCTCCTTGATCTCAGATATGACAAGATTAAAAAGAGGGTAATAGCAAATGGGTACTTCCTCTGGTTGACTATCGGCTATGGAATAGGTAAGTCTATGCATTACTAACTCTGTGAACATAAATACCAGTGTTTATGTAACTCATACAAAAGACGTGAACGATCCCAGTCTGTATAAATCCTCATCTACTGCAGCTTGATTACTTCGGCAAGAAAATAACATAAATCGGCGTGGCTGCTTACATTTACAATCTTGAAACTTCACTGAAACACTGTTTCTTCTTGTTCTGTTTTTGTAGGTCTGTTACTGACATATCTAGGTCTGTATCTAATGGACGGACATGGCCAGCCCGCTCTACTGTACATCGTACCCTGCACACTCGGTAATACCAGAAGCTTGAGTATCTCTTCCTCCATATGATCTTTGCCCATCGTTCTCAAACAAAAACCTGATGTGTTTTCTCTCTAGGTTTGGCCGTCATTCTTGGGTTGGTAAGAGGAGAGCTTAAAGAACTATGGAATTACGGTGTCGATGAATCAGAATCTCACACACCAGAGGATCCTCTGCCTGTGGCATAAGAACATGATTCAACAATCTAATTCCGTGTTATCAATCAAACCAGATCAGCTTTCCCCCTGAACGTCGAGCAAAATTTAGCAGACTTAATCTGTGAGAGATGATGTACAAAAGCTTATGTTTAGTTCTCGGCAAAACTAAACTTTAATCGGATACCAAAAGTAACACAAGAGACATGTTGGAAAATGTAGTAGTATGACGTATTTTCTTGTGTTGGGGGAGAAGAAAGAAAGGTTCTGGAGTGAGAGACTCATGACATTTTGTACAGAGTCTATTTAATCTTCTCTTGAATTCAGACTTGCGCTAGTAACCATCATTTTAGTATTTCAAGTAACGCAAATTCCCTGTTGTTATTAATTCCTTTTTCGGATACAAATAGTCTCCATAAAACTTGAATGTCAACTAGAATTTGAGTGATTGAATGAAATTCTGGTGAAAAGAAGAAAATGCACGATCAGTATTTGATGTGTAATCGTGGAATTCACCAACCAGTGTCCTGTCTATTTACATACACGTATAGAATTATTGATAAAGTAGGGCAATCGTATGAAGTATATGTATGACCAACTGCATAATACAATTTGACGTGTAGATTGATAATTCCTTTCCACGGAAAAATATGATTACAAAGAATTCAAATATAATCGGAGTTTCGTAGTAGTTTTCCTTTCTGTTAATTATGGGTTTGTGTTATCATTTGAATTCAATCTCTTTGACGAAAGAAATTTGAATCAAATTCGGCATGAATTAGTGTAGTGTGGAAGTTAAATAAAAATAGGTTAAATACGTTTTCCTATAACATTCTTTTAATCAATACACTATAACTGTATAATGTTCTACAAACCTATGGCAACTGATTTATTAAAAAGATATAAATATTGTGGCACTTGTAAAAATATAACAATAAATTAGTAAAAAGATCCATAATTTTTATAAACTACAAAAAAAAAGTTTTAACTAACTATAATATATATTATTATATTTTTAAAATTAGCAATCATATATATGTATAAGCAATATAAATGATAAACTATATTTAATGATAGTTATAATGGTACTGTAGTTTACCTTGTTAGCAATAACTTATAAGTATAATTATATAATCCATCATCCATAGAAACACTATTAATAAATAAATTACAATCAAGACGGGCCAATAGAAAGAACTAACAAGTAGTGCGTCGCTCCAACGGCAAGTTCTCCCAAACCCTAATGTGTTTATAAGGCTTATTTATACACAAAAGCAATACCAACTTACTAAACCGGCCATAGCATGAGAAAATATAAAATCCCCTATTATCAAAATTTAAGAAAAGAAAAAGAAAACAATCTTTCGTTACTTATCGGCTAATTCACATATCCACACATTTCATATATGTATCCTATCTTACACGTATGTATACATATAAGAATATATACACATATATACGCGTCATGATCACCCACCCCATTCAAATACTATGTGTATCGTATCTCTATATGCATCAATGATGATGATTATTGATGATGATGATCATTTCGAAGATAAGCCATCAACGAGACACTGCATGACCTTGACCTGCATACTAAGGCACTTGATGTAATGAGCCGTCTCTTCCATAAGCTTTGAAGTCTCCATTCCTCCGCCTCCCGGAACAAGATTCCTCAGCCTCTCCGTCTCCTCTTCCATCTCCGGATCTCTCCGGTTCCTCCTCCTCCTCAGCCACGTCACCCTCTTCTTCCTCCTAGGAAATTTTACGATCTTGTTGTTTTCTTTGGTGGCTTGACGCAATAAGGCTCTGCTCCACAGCCGATTAGTCCCTCCGGCTGCTCTGGCCATGGATACGTACGCAGCCTTCTTGATCTTCTTCACACGATCGTTTCTATTGTCAGGAGAATGAAAAGGGTTTTGTGTTCTGAGATTTGAGAGGGTTTGGAGGAAGTGGAGGGCGAAAACGTCTTTTTCAAGGACTTCTGTGTTTATGGGTTTGTCTATGGAGGCCATTGTTTGGGTTCTTGGAGAAAGAAAGAAAAAGAACTTGAGTTGAGAGAACCTTTATAAAACTTTTTTTTAGAATGACACAATATTAGGGTTAATAAATAACGGAGAGACGCAGTGAAGAGAGAGGAGAAAACATATTGTTTATTTTCCCTACACTTTTCTTTTACAAATATGGTTTTTTATGTCACAAGACACATAACTATTCATATACTCTCTAAAATTTAAACTATATGTATACGTAGACCTAAAAGTCTAGGTCTTATTAGATATTTATTCATTCATATTGTAAATATGACTACAACTGAAAGAAGAAGAATAACATGAAGAGATGAAGAAAACTAGATGTGCTATTAACTTTGATAGATTGAAATATGAAGAAAAGATACAGTTCTATATATATCAAATAACAAATGTTTGGGGGTTTAATAACAAATGTTTTTTTTATAAATTAAATAGTATTAATATTAGCTCAAATCTTTGGAGGTTCGTCTGTTGTGGTTTAGTGTACTGTTAGAATGTTTACTGGCGGATAATTAGATGTGGTAAATCATTTATATAGCAAAAGCTATGTATTTGGATAAGTATAATATACGCCTAGGGTTATAAAGTCTTGAATAAATAAATGGATATTTACTTGAAAACGATGTTTTGGCTTGAAGAAAAAGGGTGATGCCAATAGATTAACAGAACTTGGCTAATTTTTGACCAATTTGAAATATGTATACATATAACATTAATGTTAGTATTCCAACTTAAAATAATAATAATTCGGATGATATTTACGTAGACGCAAATTAATTTAGCCCTTTTGGCTCATAGCTTTGTATAAACGGAAAAGGAGCAATTAGGAGCAGACATCAGATTATGGAATAAGATTCCAACCTCATTTTTTAATGTTTATTTGTTTGTTTTTATAAAAGGTAATTTTAGCGACGAATGCGTATGAATTAATTAACGTGAACAGCTAATAGAGACGATTATGATAATATTAGGTAAGCTATAATATATGCATCTCATCTTATATATATGTATTTGTATCAAAATCAGTTGATAATTAATGACGGTGAGTGTGAATGATTATGGAAAACAACTTAGCTCATTTTCATTGCAAAAGAATTAGAAAAAACCCCCCAAAAATCGATTAACTGATTAGTATTACTTGTTGATCGATATTTACAAACAAAATTCCGCAAAATCCAGCACTAGAACATTTTTATTCAGTACGTTAAATCGGAAAGTAACTCAATTGGAAAAAAAAAAAATCAACTACTATGATTTATTGGGACAGATAGTGTTAATATGTAATATATCCGCTCACATCATCCAAGATAAAACGTGATAAAAGATATACAAAAATATTCACCATGCAAGAGCAACAACAATATATATAAATATATCTTCATCTTTTCGTAGTTTATGAGATAAAACCATTGGTTTGATCAAAAGATTACACCAACATTTTTGTGAACAATATACTAAAAAAAAACTAATTAGAAAAGACAACCCAAAGGGAAGAATAAAGAAAAAAGAGGAGGAGAGACTTAAAGGATACGATTTGTGTTTGGTTAAGGCTATAATTTAGCATTAGTCCCATCTCTTTTGTGTTAATCACTCTCTCCCTACCGCTTTGCCGCCGGACGTATTTTTCACGCCATTAATTATTTTGCATATATATATCACTATCATTATCATATTTCTTTTAACAAAAAAAAAAACCATTATCATATTTTCTCTCTTTAGAAATCAGCTCCAAATTTTTCCTTTCTGTAACGTTTTGAAATATACATCTATATGATACAAATTTGTTTGAAGTTAACTAAGTTTTGGGAAATGATAATTTTTAAACGGCAAAAAAATTGATATTAGGAGTCTAACCATATGAATAATAAGGTTTAAATTATATTAATACATATTAACTAAACGAAGGGTGTTGAAGAAGTGGTAGAGTGGGCCCACTAATGGGCCAACCACCACATGAAGGCACATGGCTATGGCCTTTACCCACCCCCACTTCATTTCTCTCTTATCTTTATCTTTTAATTTTGATTTTAGTATTTAATTATAATTAACCACACCATTCGTTTTGATTTGATTCTCCTCTTCATTTTCTGTAATAGTCGTTGGGGCTAACTTTAAATATATTCAACTAAACTATGTAAAACAAACAGAAAAGAACAAATGCTATTGGGTAATACCGTAATAGTGACAATTCTGAAACTGAAAAAAAGGAATTTCGTATTCACATTTACGGAAACGTGTGAAAAAGCCACGTCATCACTGACGCCTCCTTTTTGTTGTCAGTTGTTTTATTACGTTTTGTTAAAAAGAAGACGGCTGATTAAACTTGACGTTACACGTTGCAACTGTCGGCGAATCTGTCCCGTAATTGGCGACGTGGCTCCGTTATTACTTTGTCCGGTGGATAACATGACGGCGCTCCTTTCTTTCTTTTTCTTTTTCTTTTTCTTTGAAAAACATAGTGCAAGTAATTTGCACACACAAAACGTTTGCATTATTTTATATCGTAAAATATTATAATATTCACAGGTTTTCGGTACAAAATCTTTACTTGAAAGAAGTTGAATAGTATCAATATAATTGTAAGATTCAGTTTCATTTCTTTAATAATCTTTAGATCTTGTATACAGTTTTAGTATAATATTACAGCTAATTATAAGCGATAATATAGCAACAACAAAAAAAATGTACCCAAACAGATAATCGTAAAATATTTGAAAATTTCACATGGTTAACTAAATTCGATCTTTAATGGGTTTTACCTAGCCGAAAGAAATGAATTTAACAACCACGGATTCTAAAAAATAAAAAGAATGTCTATTTTATTGTTGTTGTATATCACATATAAAGTCATATAATTGGTTGAATAATGATTAAATATGCTTGTTTACTCGACCTGATCAAACACATTGTTCAAAAAAATGAGAAAGAGAAGTCCAAATAAAGAGGATAGAAGATCAGGTGTTTGGCAAAACAAGTTTTGAAAAGGAAGACCATGTAATGAGTTTGAATTAAGCTCGGTTTTATATATTATGAGAGATCGTACTAGTTAAAAACATGTTCGGATTTCGGTCCAAATAAATTATAAAATGTATGACGCTAAGAATTTTGTTGGTTATAAGCTTTTAAAATAATAATAATAATAAACGGACAGAGACAAAATGTTTGCACGTGGGATAATTTATTGTCTACATACATTTCATATTATATTACACACGTACATGCAAATATACATATGCAAGTCATTATTTTATGTATGAGTTGAAAAAACTGAACCGTGGAAAAATAAAAAAGTGGGCCAATCTTGCCTATTGTTAGAGAGGCAAGATTTTAATACTCGAAACAAAGACAACTTCCTAATCAACTCTTAGTTTCATATTTAAACTTCTAATTATTGTTTATCACTATTCTTCAATTATGGTTAGTTGGTATATGGCTCTCACAAAAACTAAGATTATATGATATATTTTCTATCTGTAGGTTGAAAATTAGCACAATCCAAAATTAGTTGTTGTAGGTCTATAAGTAGGGGCTTCAAAAACTCTTTTACCATCGCTTATTTGCAGGCTTCAGTACTAATAATGGATGAAAGTGATGAAACTCTATTACCATCGCTTATTTGCAGGCTTCAAAGCTATTAATGGATGGCCCAAGCCCATCATTAGGCCATAATTTGGATCCACTATTTTTCACATGGGTTACACAGTTACTTACAAGTTCTAATAGTCTACAAATTTCTTTCGTGCAGAAATGATAATTGCAATTATTTGCAGTTAGCACAGATTGTAAAATTCTCGATACGTTTATTTATCTGCAGCTAATAACTACACAAAAAAATTGAACCGAATATCGACAATTTTAAGCATATATGTATAGAGAAATGGTGAGACAGAACACATTAATACTAGTAACAATCGCAACTTTGTTTTTTAAGTTGCATTTTCATAAACAAATAATTGAAAGACAAATGGATTATTTAAACACACAGTTGCAATTAATAAACATGTAATAATCACAATTCAAATAAGATGACTATATAACAGTTTTAAATTACTAATTGTCAAACCAGCTTAATTATAAGAAGCTCACTTCACAAGGCCAGAGTCGAAACTAACGCCCGTTGACGGCAACCACATCGCCCCGTCAATGAAACCGGCGACAGTGAATCCTTCCGCTTCCTTCACCGTTAAAGACGAATGATACCCGGTCCATTTAACCCGACCCGAAACCGATGATCCGGGACCCGAATTCCCAAATTCCCCGTAAAACAGAGTTTTGAGACCGAAACCACCCGACCAAGGAGACCAACCCGACGGGTGAATCGAACCGTCGAGGAACGATTGCATCACCACCGTCCTCGAATACTCCTTCCACGGTCGGCCAAGAAAAGTCGTCGACTGCGCCGTGATCTTGCAGCTCTGAATCGAGATACCGCTGTTCTGATTCGGGTTGCTCCGCCCTTGCGCCGTCACGAAGTTTCTCTGACCCGGCAAGGGTTTCCGGGCGACGATGTTGCACGATTGGAATACGACGGCGGAGTTGCCGAAGATGAAATCGACGGTTCCGGTGATGTCTGTCTCTCGGTAGAATTGTCGTTTCGAGTGTGTGTAGAGTGAGTCTTGGTATCCTTCGACGGAGCAACGATACACGACTGATTTATCTGCTCCGACACGGAGTGCCACCGCTTGCTCCGATTTGGGTCCGGCGCTGTTCACGAATGTTATGTCGCGCGCTATAAACCCCTCTCCCATAGCAGCTTCCAAAATTTTATTTTCAAAAAGACTTCAAATTCGTTAACCGAAACCATACCAAATAAAACCGATAAGAAAAATCAAATCAATGAAGTTAAAATCAACTGATTCGGTCCTTGTTTCCCATAACTTAAGCCAAACCGAACCAACAAAATAAAATAGAATTTTTTTTTTAACTTTCATTAAAATAATTTTTGTTGTTAAAAGACTAAATCCAAACCAAAAAAACCAACCACTTATAAACAGGACCGACACATTTGTTGTTGCCAAAATATTAATTTCTATTTTTTATTCGTTTTCTCATAAACTTTTAGAATTCACATATATCTTGTATATATATAAATTAATATTGAATATTGTATCTATCTTGTTATCAGAAAAAAAAAATATTGAATCTTACCGACGGTGGCAGTTCGGTAAGTAGTCCAGCCGCCTCTATTACTTCTGCTACCTACAATGACCGTTTTGCCCTTCCCGTCACCAACTAACATAACGTTCTTCTGCTTCGTCGGAATATTGATGTTCTCATTGTAGGTCCCAGCTTTCAGGTGAATGACGGTCCTGCCACCACTACTCGCCAATGACGATGCCAACAACGCTTCTCCTACGGTTTTGTGGGTTCCACTCCCGTCTGTGGCCACCACCGCATCAATCTTCAGTACCTCCACCGAAGCTTCTAGGAGCCTCCGATCGGACGAAGTTACAAACGTCGGAATATACTCCTGTTCCGACAAGAGTCTCCGGCTTTTCGACTTCACGGATACGAACAACTCGAGCGACTTAGTCAACATACCAGAGAGGTTTCTTGCGACGAAATCTATCTCAAATCCGTTTTTGTATGACTTGGATTTTTCTTGAAGGCTCTGCTCACAAGTCTCTTGGTTCGTGAGTGCTGCGCTTAGCCATGTATGAACGTCTTCATCGTCATCACTTGAAATGGTGTCTTGCATCGTCGTTATGCGAGACAACATTTCAAGTGTGTCGTCGAGCAGCTCAAGGCAGTCGTGGACGGGATCGATGATATGGACTTGTGCGGCACGTTGAGAAAGAGTGAGATTGAAGGCGAGAGAGCGAGCAAAGAGAGCATGGTTCATACTCTCTTGGACCGATGCAAGAAACCCTTGTTTGGTTCTTGATGATGAACTTTGATGTCTCGAGAATCTTGAAAAGTGGGAGTTGGAATTGGAGTTGGTCTCAGCTGAAGTAGTATGAATTAAGAATAAGAAGTTTATGATGAGCAAAATCATTAGTGTTTTTGGAATCTTGTGCTTTGATATTGATGATGATGAAGCCATTATAGTTATGAAACTTAATGATTTGTGAGCTGTTGTAGTAGCAGCAGCTTAATGATACATGGGTGTATATATACATACTTACATTTTTATGTTCGTTACTAATTTTTAAATTGTGTTGCTTTGTTTCTTACTACTACACGACTCTTAAGTTTTTTTGTGTAACCGGCCTACACGACTCTTAATTAACTTTCGAAAAAATTCATATATATCACAATAAATAACGCACGAAGAGTTGTAATTTATTTCCGAAATATTAAACTATATGTACGTAATACATCCATAGTAATCTTTATTGTATAATATAAGACGGCACCTAATCTAATCTCTTGAGTCCTGTGATAATTAATGATTTTAATAAGATTTGTGATGTTTCAGAACATTAGTTGATATTTTACCAAGCTTAGTTAAGGTTTTATAATCTATAATTTTTGGATTTTTTGTTGTTGTTAGAACTAGGAGAAATAGGAAGCCACAAGCAAGTAAGCAAGTTATCTTTTATGTTGTTGACAAAAGAAAAACAATATGTATAAATCGGTGCAAACAGATTTACATGTCACAAAAATGATGATTAAATTAACATTAGTTCACATATGTATGAAGTTAGTTCTTTAAACGCAAATCTTAAGAGTGAAGCAACGAAATATAAAGAGCACCAAAATTGCCAGACTGTGCGTAATATTCACAATCATCTGCTGCTTTTCAATTATAGAGCTCTGTCTAATGTATAAAGCTTTCTTTAGCTGTTAAAAAACTGTATGTGCTTTCAAAATATTCCGTTTATGTATGATACGGTTGATTTATATGCCTGCAAGTGTAACGTTTTTAAGTGAAATTCATTTATTTATTTTTTTGTTAAAATTCATTCCTTTATTTATTGATCAACTAAAAGTGATAACATTCTAAAGCAAACCGCGTATAAGTTCGTAACTTTTCACAAACAATTCATCATAAAGTTTACATGTTTTTTTTTTTTTTTTTTTTTTTTTAAAGGGTTTCTAAAGTGTAGATGGTATGTATTAAAAATTTAATATCAAATTATGTAACTAAAAAATTCCCATGACATACATAAAGACCAGACCATTGACTAAATCCTCTTAATACATATGTGTGGAGAACAAAAAAGTTAGCAAAAAATTGAGATGCTTCGCGACAAATATATAAAATACCAAAAGAAAAAAACCAAACTGACCTTATATTATATTATATTTGTTTATTTATGCATACCTGTTTAAATTTAAGTTGTATGTTAACTGCTGAAAATTTTTGTTTGCACTGTTAGTGGGAAAATAATAAAATGTGCTATAACAAAGAAAATAATTAAATTGTGTGATATTGTTTTGTGCATGGATAATGATACTGCCAAACTTAAATAGACAAAAATAATAATGGGATCCATCTTATGTTAGTCATCAGAGAAGATTCAACGACCAACGTAACTAGTTGCTCACTTGTCAGCCTCGGGAACAAAGGAGACAATATATACCACTTGTGTTTAATAATTTTAAAGAAACTTACATTACATATATATAATTAGGTTATATAACAAAAAAAGTTGCAACTAGAAATAGTTCACATAACTAACTGAAAAAAGCTTCATACATGGCAAAAGTAAGTAATAAATTTTCGATAGTTGTTTTGCGTAATCAGATTCAAATAATTATAACGAACATTCAAATAATCATATAGCACATCTTATTTGTATCTAAACAACGTAAATGGACGAACCCATATCATTGCATGTGTGTGTTATAACTTATCGTTTATGAAACTTTTTACGCCACGTAACTCATGAAACCAGAATATATTATCATAGCCTAAAACCAAGACTGAACATACTTCTTCATCAAAGTATACTTAATCGGATTGATCAAATTAGACGATTCAGCTCATCTTGTAGAGCACCAGTATCTTCGATAGTAATGTAGCTTGTGCTTATATATTAAATTGCATGAATGTGAACCTATTACTAATAGCGATTAGGAGACTAATAATTTGAAATATCGAGTGGTGGGTGTTTGTGGGAGCGAAGAAGAATTTAATACTTAGTATTAATCTCCTATGGCGTTCCACGTTGCTAAGTGTCACCAAAAATAAGATAATTATAAAATATAAAAATAAGTATATATATGCTTCTCATATTAAGATACGCCGTGTAATGAAAAAAAAAAAAATTGGTTAGCTCCTACACAATTTTTGTTCACCGCGTTGAAGTATCTACACTAATTTACAATGAACATAACCGTACTGATTTAGTGATTTGTTCTACATGATCACATCATTTAATTATTCCACTATATACATATATTCGTCTCTTAGTAGTCACTAAATCATTAATCAAGCCACTGAACTTAAGTAGTTAATAGTTACAAAAAAAAAACCTAAGTACTTAACTCATACTGTATATGCCTTCGAGCTTACGAATGACTTCAGACATCGTGTATCTATGTATTATATGTATGTATTAATAATTTCTAAGTCAAAGAGGTCTTGTCTAATAAATGCATGCTTAACTACTTCACGCAATAATGTGCTAATATAATACTGCAAAACTAACCAAATTAATTGGTCTACTGAAAACAAATAAGTAATATAGTTCGGATTCTGGTCTTTTATATAGATATATCGTTAGTTTATTGATATATAATAGTAATAGTCATATTAAAAAGTGTTTTGATAGATTTAAATATAATATAATTACAGGCCGTGTGATTGACTATACGTACGAACTAACTTTGATAATTTTGAATGGGACAAATCAACGGAGACCTTACGATAAGCTTTCAATGTTTCCCAGTGCCGAAGGAGAGTGAAAAGGACATACTATATCAGTGATTTGAGTGCGTATACATATATATAATATATATGTGTTGTTATTTACTCTGTGTTGATTCTATGAATAACAAAATACCCAGCTTGCAATTTTTAAGTTGTTATGTAAAAAGGATAATATTCCAATATACTAGTAAATTTTAAAAACAAAAAGAAGAATAATATTGCAAATTATTTAAGCTAGAGCTGGTCCTTACACCTTTGTAACAATACCTATTCGATCCGTGGGTGTGGGGAACTCTAGCTACATCTTTTCAATTATTTCTCTACTAAATTGAGATTATCGCTGTCATATAAAATGCTTCACCGTTCCAAACTTAAGATTACTTTCGAGGTGATGAATTCTGTTCTAACAATTATAAGAAAAGAAAGAAAAAAAAGTAGAATTTGGGTTAAGGGTTTTGATTGATTTGAATCCGTTTACAGAGAAGCAAGAAAATGAAGGTCTTATGAGTGCAAATGTCACCTAACGCTTTTGTTGTGTATCATTTAACAGATCCGCAAAAGTCTTTCATAATCTTCTCATCTATATATATTTATAGAAAAATCCAATAAGAGGCTGCTGATTTATTATTGGCGAAGCTAAAGCGATGAAGAATCACCCATAATTGGTGTAAAATGTAAATGATTACAAAACTGTTCTGAGGCTACGATCAATTGAAAAAGGTTGGGCCTTACTTCAACAGAAGTAGATAGTTGGGCCTTCTCTCTCGATTCTCTAGAGGATTTACATAATTACATGTCGTGAGGGTTTTTGGCTCAAATATTTTAAAATTAACGTTTTCTATCGAAAGCTGTAATAGCCAAAGTTTCTTAATTTTCATGTTGCAAAAACGCTCAATGTTCTTTGTAATGTTCCCCATTTCCAGTCTTTAGTATAATCCACTTTCACATTTAAAGAAAAAATGAAAAAGAGTTACAGAAAACGAATGACGGAAGGACAAATATACCCCTGGTGAACAGACGGAAATTACAAAGAGAGAGAGAGAGAGAAAGAGAGTTTTAGACAAAACAGGTGTTACTCTCTCTCCGTTCACGTTCTGCAACATCGGAACCACGTACGGCTCCTAAGACTCCGTTCGCTTTTTAACACAGACACTCTTAAAATAATAACAATTAAACGAACATCAAAAGGACGGAGAGATAAAAGTTTCCTTTTTTTCGTCTTCTTCTTCTTCTTCCTCTTCTCTTTCGTCAGACAGATTCACATTTTGACTTTTTCCTATTTCTCGGGTGCTCAGATCCCATTTCTCGCCGCGAGTGCACCTTCTTCTTCTTTTTTATTGGCATCGTTGATTCGATCGGCTTTCCTGGAACATGAAGCGGATGATCGTAGGTACGCTAGATTTTTTTTTTTTTTTCTTCCCGAAATTGGCTTAGTTTTCTGATCGAAACCAGATGATTTGAATATCTATGAGATTCAGTTTCAACGTTGTATGGTCGCTTGAAAATCTACTGGCGTTGACAGATTTGTTTCTTTATGAGGACCCACATTGCAATTTGGAACATAACATTGTTCTTTGATTTTCAAACAAGAATTGTAAATTCATTTGATCAGAATATTTCTTGCTGATGTGAAGAACATATAAAACGATTCTAGTGTCGAATTGTTTTAAGGAAAAACAAACAAATAAAAAGCCACAAAGATGACAAAATTGTAGAATTTTCTCTTTTTTTTTTGTCTTTCAAGGTTCCATTTTGGTGGTTCCTTTTGAAGATAGTGATTTCAGTTCTTGGAGTTGCACATTAGAATTGTTGTTACTCTTTTTACAATGAGGAAAGGAATTTGCGTTGACTAAAACTCAATGATAGTGTTAGATTTTTCGTTGTGCTGTGTCACACTCTTTGATTACTGAGTTTAGTTATTGTTCCAAGTGATGCAGTTGCTAGTTACGGTGGATTAATGTTTGAAGTGGAGAGAAACAGGACGCAGAGATTTTGATGCGGTTTTAGACTATAGAAAGGTGAACAATGCTGGGGAATCAATCCGCAGAGTTTAGCGAGAACGGGGGAAATTCGACTAGCAGAGAACTATGCGCAAATGGGATTTGCATGAAAACATCTGAGGTCGAAGCAAAGCTTGATGAAGGAAACATCCAAGAAGCTGAATCTTCTTTGAGAGAAGGCTTATCTCTCAATTTCGAGGTTTGTTTCTCATCTTCCAAAACTCCATGAATTCAATAAGAAAGTATTTTGTTGTCTCTCTCAGTTCCACTGGTTTATATAATCACAGGAAGCAAGAGCACTTCTTGGAAGATTAGAATACCAAAGAGGGAATGTAGAAGGCGCGCTTCGTGTCTTTGAAGGCATTGATCTTCAAGCAGCGATCCAGAGATTACAGGTTCCGGTTCCGCCTGAGAAACCGGCTACTAAGAAAAACCGTCCCCGTGATCCAAATCCGCAGCAATCGGTCTCTCAGCATGCTGCTAGCTTAGTTCTTGAAGCTATCTACTTGAAAGCCAAATCACTTCAAAAGCTTGGGAGAATAACCGGTAAAAATTATAAAAATCACATTTTTTACATATGTAACAATGCAGACGTTTATAAAAAAAAAATCCTGAATCTTTTTCCTTACTGGTTTTTACATTTTTGCAGAGGCTGCAAGAGAATGCAAAAGTGTTCTTGATTCCATCGAGAAAATATTCCAGCAAGGGATACCGGATGCTCAGGTGGACACCAGGCTTCAAGAAACCGTTAGCCACGCCGTGGAGTTACTTCCGGCGCTGTGGAAAGAATCCGGTGAATATCAAGAAGCGATATCTGCTTATAGACGAGCGCTTTTAAGCCAGTGGAACCTCGATAACGACTCTTGCGCGAGGATTCAGAAAGATTTTGCAGTCTTTCTTCTACATTCTGGAGTCGAGGCGAGTCCTCCGAGCTTAGGCTCTCAGATAGAAGGCTCCTACATACCTAGGAACAACCTGGAAGAAGCCATTCTTCTTCTGATGATTCTTGTAAAGAAGTTCAACCTCGGGAAAGCGAAATGGGATCCGTCTGTGATCGAACACCTCACCTTTGGGTTGTCTTTGTGTAGCCAGACCTCTGTTCTCGCCAAGCAGCTCGAAGAAGTGATGCCTGGTGTGTTTAGCCGCGTCGAGCGTTGGAACAATCTGGCTCTCTCTTATAGCGCAGCGGGTCAAACAAGTGCTGCGGTTAACCTTCTCAGAAAGTCTCTGCATAAACACGAGCAGCCTGATGACCTCGTGGCGCTTTTGTTAGCCGCTAAGCTTTGCAGCGAAGAGCCTTCTTTAGCTGCAGAAGGTTCGGGTTACGCGCAGAGAGCGATAAACAATGCTCAAGGGATGGATGAGCATTTGAAAGGGGTTGGTTTGAGGATGTTAGGGCTTTGTTTAGGGAAGCAAGCGAAAGTTCCGACGTCGGATTTCGAAAGATCTCGGCTTCAGTCAGAAGCGTTGAAAGCATTAGATGGAGCTATAGCCTTTGAGCACAACAACCCTGATTTGATCTTTGAGTTAGGTGTTCAGTACGCTGAGCAACGGAACTTGAAGGCTGCTTCTCGTTACGCCAAGGAGTTCATCGATGCAACGGGAGGTTCGGTGTTAAAAGGATGGAGGTTTCTCGCGCTTGTTTTGTCGGCTCAGCAACGGTTCTCAGAAGCTGAGGTTGTGATGGATGCTGCTTTAGATGAAACAGCAAAGTGGGACCAAGGTCCTTTGTTAAGACTTAAAGCAAAGCTGAAAATCTCTCAGTCGAATCCAACGGAAGCCGTTGAGACTTACCGTTACCTTTTAGCGTTGGTTCAAGCGCAAAGGAAATCTTTCGGACCTCTCAGAACTCTCTCTCAGGTTTTTTTTCTTCCAAATTTTCCTTTGTTTTCTGTTCTGTTGAGATCATCAAAACCTTTTCTTAATCCTTTTACAAATAACAGATGGAGGAAGACAAAGTGAATGAGTTTGAAGTGTGGCATGGCTTAGCTTATCTTTACTCAAGCATTTCGCATTGGAACGACGTAGAAGTCTGTCTTAAGAAAGCCGGCGAGCTGAAACAATACTCTGCTTCAATGCTACATACAGAAGGCAAGAACAAGAACCCACTTTTAACTAATAATCTCATAAAAGTCCCTTTGATTAATTCGGTTTGAATCTTGGTTACGATCAGGTCGAATGTGGGAAGGACGAAAGGAGTTTAAACCGGCTTTAGCGGCTTTCTTGGACGGTTTGTTACTAGACGGTTCATCGGTTCCTTGCAAAGTAGCGGTTGGAGCGTTGCTGTCGGAAAGAGGGAAAGATCATCAGCCAACGCTTCCTGTCGCGAGAAGCTTGCTGTCTGATGCATTGAGGATTGATCCGACGAACCGAAAAGCTTGGTATTACTTAGGAATGGTTCACAAGCACGACGGACGTATCGCCGATGCTACCGATTGCTTCCAAGCTGCTTCCATGCTTGAAGAATCTGATCCTATTGAAAGCTTCTCAACCATTCTTTGAAATCCCAAAACCATTATTTACAAAAGATTTTATATTTATATACACCTTCATTTTTTCTTTCTTTCATCATCTCATGTAAAATTTTAACCTCTTCATTTCTTCAAACTAATACAGTATGTTTTTTGTTAGAATCGAATGATTCCGAGTTTTGTAAAAGAATATATTTACGTCTATATATCAAAACAATATGCCATTTTCACAATTTTAAGTTTTAACATCAAAGTCTTTGTAATCATGGTTTCGAGCATAAGAATCGCAATTCAGGTAAAAGTTGTGATTTTTTAGAACCGCAATGGTAATACGAAACTGTGATTTAGCATTTCTACAATTTTCGACTCAAAAAATCCATAAGATTCCGCAATTTTCGAATACACAAATGCATTGAATAACAACAAGAAGTCAGAGAGATTGCATACAACAAAAACACACGAAAGTGAGCCTCTCTACTAGTTCTTGGGGATATTAACTCCGACGATTTTGGCCGGAGTTATACGGAGAAGATTCCCAGGCTTACCAGGCAAAGCTCCTTTGATCATCACAACGTTAAGCTCCTTGTCGACTTTAACGATCTTGAGCTTCCTGATCTTCGTCTTGGTTCCTCCCATTCTCCCAGGCATTTTCTTCCCTTTGTAAACCCTTCCCGGAGTAGTTCCGGCACCGATGGATCCCAAAGCCCGATGGCTCTTGGAACCGTGAGTCATCTGACCTCTCTTGAAGTGATGCCTTTTGATTCCTCCTTGAAACCCTTTCCCGATCGTCGTCCCGGCGACATCAACGAGATCTCCTTCCTTGAAAATCTCGTCGAAGACGAGCTTCTGATTCGGCTCGAATCCTTCGACGTTTGTCAATCTGAATTCCTGGAGATGCCTCATCGGGATTACGCCGGCCTTCTGGAGATGACCGGTTTCCGGTTTCGTGAGCTTCTTGTCGCGGACACGGCGGTACCCGATTTGAACGGCGTCGTATCCGTCGGTGGCTAGGGTTTTGATTTGGGTGACGATGTTGCCTTCGCGGAACCCGACGACGGTTACTGGAACCACGGTGCCGTCTGCTTCGAAGAAACTCATCATCCCGAGCTTCGAGCCCATCACGCCGATTCCAGCTTCCATGGACATGGAGACTACGAAAGGTCGTTTGGTTTTGGGAGATGATTTGGTGAGAAGGGAAGAGGATTTCGATGGGAGGAAGGTTGGAGTAAACAGTGAAGAGGATAAGGTTGCTTTTTGGAGTAAGGACGGGAAAGAAACAACCGCCATAGCCATCGCCATTGTCGGGAGCTATACAGAGAAGAAACTCGAGAGGATAACACACTGTGACACTCTTATCTTCTTCTTCTCCAACCTAAAAAAATCAAATTTTTAATTTGGGAACTGATGAAATTTATCATAATACCCCTGAAGATACTCAGAATTACAATACACAACGCTTCTATTTTGCAACATCGGACCTAATGATTTAGTTTTGTTCACTTTGTTCTTTTCTTGGTCCTCATATACAAATTTAACCTCTTTGTTCTTTTCTTGGTCCTCAAATCCAAAAATTCAGAGCACTTGAATTCTCAAAGATATCATCATATAAAATATATATATATATATATATATATATCACAAGGTTATACAATGTTCAATTTATTGAATAAAAAACACAGAAAGAGTTTTAAAAGATCCCAACACTAGAATAATTACTGTTTTCCCACAAACACAAACCAAATCACTTCAGAGTCTTTCTAGTAAATCGATAGCAATGATAAGAACATAACAGCAGACGAGACTGCAGAGACTTTTAATGGTATGGATTTAGAGACGAGATATAAGAAGCGGAACAGAGGCAGGTCCTTCTTCACCCATCACAGGCTGAAACAGATCCAACTCACCGTACCGCTCCAACACACGCATCCTGCAATCTTCAGCCGCCATCAATCCAGTCGAATAAGCGCCGTGAACCGAGCCCGGGAAGCTCGAGCTCGTGGCTTCACCGGCAAAGAATAAGTTATCCACCGGAACCCTAAGCCTCTCGTAGAGATCATGAGGCTTCCCCACAATGTCGTAGCTATAAGACCCCAGTGAGTTCACATCCGATCCCCACCTCGAGACGAGGTACTGTACCGGAGGCAACGCGTCGGGAAGAATCCTCTGGAGTTGCAAGACGGCGAAATTCGCAGCTGCTTCATCAGACATCTTCTCAATGTCTTTGGCGAGCTGACCAGCCGGCATGTAAACCAGAACCGGATGACCCGTGGCCTTGTGCAGGTTCAAAAAATAACTGCAGCCGTAGGAGGTTTCAGCAACCACTCCGAGAAACTCTACTTTCGGCCAAAAGACTTTTTCGAAATGCAGTATGATCTTGTTCTCGATTCCTACTCCGAGGTCCTTGATTGCTTCTTGTTTCCACTCTGGTAGCTTCGGTTCGAATTTGATCGTTCCGGATTTCAAGACACCGAGAGGAACAGCGATCACCGCAGCATCCGCAACGAACGTTTCCCCGTTCTCTGTCGTTACCTTCACTCCATTATACCGCCTTACGATCTTAGTAACCCTGTGGTTTAGTCGAATATCAAGCCCTTTGGCCAAAGTATTGATTACAGGACGATATCCTCTAACCATAAGACCGTGTCCACCAGGTAGCAGTTCCTCCTGCACATATATCGGTATGTTAAATGACGATATGTGTACTTAAAACTGTAGACTCCAAGAGGAAGAATATAACTAACCTGGTCCCAACACTTTGCAGAGATGGTTTCAGCATCGGCAGCAAACCATCCTTCCATGCGGCACAAGTACCATTGAAGTACGTTGTGTGCAATCCCCTCTAACCTGGAGATGAAAAGAAAAAAAATTCAAAATGTGATCATGAAATCAAAGCTTGAATTATGCAATGAAAGAGATGAAAGTTAAGAAATGGGACATTTTATGTATACAAACCTCAACTCGGGTTTCCTTGCAAATACAATTGAGAAAGCCTGAGATATTGACATGTCTGCATCCTGCTCATCCCTCACTTTATTGATCTGCATTTGTGAAAAAAGAAGAGTCTAGTTAAGCAAATGAATATGAAAAAAGGAAACAAAAAAAAAACCAAAATGAATGTGAAGGACACAAACCTCTTCCAAAATCTGCTCAAATGTTACGCCAACCTCAGTTACCAACTCTTGATTAACTTGGTTTCCATCCATATCAAACAGAGCATAGCTACAGAAAAATGACGAATTCTAACGTGAGTTCTAAGGTCCCAAATATGAATTAAAAAAAAAAGAAAAGAAATAGAGGATCTCTGTTTCTGATAGTACAGACCTCTCAAGATCATGATCATACAAGACCGAGTTGTCACCACTAGTACGATACAAAGGCAGTCCCAGTCTCCCAATCACTGGTGCAAGAGGATTCTCTTTGCATACTCCGTGCAGCCTGTGACAAAAAAAAAAAAACGATGTTTAGCTATCTTAACAAAAGGTAACCAAAAAAACTAAAACATCAAGAAGCAAAGAGCCGTGATTTTACCATGATGCACCAAGATCAACGGGAAAACCGAATGAGTAATCAGTGTGAACTCGTCCACCAATCCTGTCACGTGACTCCAGTACCATAACCTACATACATAGAAAGAAGAAAAACATGAATCCAAGCTCCAATCTTGTTCTCGAGAAGGTCATAAAGAACATCATAGGACATTGTGTAAACACCAAGCTTGAAAAATGCATTGGCTGTTATACAATACAAACCTGAAAGGAAGCATCTTGAAGAGTGCGAGCAGCTGAGATTCCACCAAAACCACCTCCGATCACTATCACAGACGGCGACCTTGTCTTCATCCTCTCACCAGCTGAAAAGCAATTAGCTGTGACACCGATAATATATGATAACAGTTTACGAATCACGTTAAAGTCCGAAAGATTAACGATTATAACAGAAGAGAAACTTGTGATAACTGTAATTAGGACTCTTATTTTTAAACTGTTTTTCAATTAGAACTTTGAAGCAAACACCTACTTATTAGAAAGATGCCCAGAAAATACCAAATTAATTAAACGACTTAGCCCCACACAAGAAAAAAAAAACTTGTGGCAATCGGCAAATACAGCCAAACAAAAAGGTCACAAAGGAATCAAACCACCGACAGAGAAATTGGCACGAGGGAAAACTGAGGATCCAAAAGAAATTTTTTTTTTTTTTTTTGTCAAATCAATCAAATTTCCCAGTTCATAATCCAGATGAAATTAAAAATCCCTAGCTTCTTCGTATAAATCAATGATTGCAATCGACAAACAATTACATACAGAGAGAGAGAGAGAGAGAAAAAAAAAAACAGAATGATAGATGAAGATGAGAGATTCCAATACCTCTACGCATTTGACGATCAGAGTTTTTCCTGGACTCCATGATTTCAATTGCTCAAACGATTACTCTCGAGATTATAAGAATTACGATTACTACTATTATTATTACTACTATTAGACGGAGGCTGGGGAGAAAAATGAAGGATGAAGATCAGAAGGCAGGTGGTAAAGTGGCTCGAGATCGAAGATGAAAAAATCAGGCTTCCAAACAAATTCATGCGATTTCTCTTTTCTTCCGAATTTTCTGCGCCCTGTTTTTTGTTTTCTCACTCTGCCTACTCAAGACGGCCAGTATCAACGTAGATCTACGACGATCGGCGAGATCGGATGCGTAATCCAAGCGAAACAAATATATCAAATCGCAGAAACGAGAAAGAGAGAGAGAGCCCAGGCGAGGTAATTTGTTGAGAGAGAGAGAAAGTTGAAGAAGAAAGAGACTTCTAGAGAGAGAGGGGAAAACGGAGTCCCAGATTATTTCGGCTTCGAGTCCTAAAGTCGGGAAAAGTAGGTTTAGGTGCTTTTTTATAATAGCACTAAAAAGTTTCAGCTTTTTTACTATTGGTCTATTTGGTTTTTGTTATCTATTAATAATTAATATTTGATAATAGATATATCTATTAAAAATTAATATATATTGATATAGACTATATATATATATATATTCATTAAAATCTTGTTATTATTTACTGACCAAATTATCCATGATTGTTTAATTATTTCAAATAATTGCTGTTATCTATTAAAAATAATACTCCAATAATACATATCTGTTTTATAGGCAATAATATATATATTGATTAATATTATATATTATAATGAGAAAATTTTGAAAGAAAAAATTCTTAAATAATTTGAAATTTTGAACCAGTGATTTGCTAATTAGTCAGTATACTATTAATTTGAAGGATATTCTGTAATTTTGGAAAATTCAAATTTTTTGTTATAGTAAATTGATACTTCATTATTAAGTTAAGTTTTAGACGCAATTTTTTCAGAAATAAAAATTATATCATATAGAATTAGATTTTAAAAACAAAAATCATACAACAGTAGTATTAGTTAGATCATATTCATTTTAACAAGCTTTTTTTAAAAAAAATGAGTATTAGCATTACAGTGGCCGAGCTAGCTTGTAATTAGGAGGGTCATTTGACTCATGTGAAAATTAAAAAAATAACTATATTTTTATTAAGTATTTTTAATTGACCCATGTCTAAAATAATTATTGACCCTTCTAGATTTTTAATTGATCCATGATCCAATAAATATTAGTGAATGTTAGCCCAATAATAATCACAAATAATTTTAAAACAAAAAGAAACTCATTAATTAAGTAAAACTAAATATTTTTATCAATCAAACATAAAATAAAAAGTAAATAATTATTTTTTCATAAGTCTAATTCACAATATTGGTGATATATTTTTAGGTGATTGTATAGTTTGTTTTATTGAAAAACAAGTGTTTAACACATTAACAAACCAAAACAATGTCTACGATAAACCGATTCAAGAGATATGAGTGAACTTATATATATGTGATGCATCTAAATCTAGTGATAGTATATGAATTTTTCTAATAAAGTTTATATAGTTATATTAAAAAAAAAAATTGACTCCTGTACAAATTTTTTCTAGCTCCGCCACTGATTAGCAATTTGGCTGCATACGCCTATAATACCGTTCAACTTGCACGCCAGGAGGTTAATGGGGTTGGCCCAGTTGGGGATGAGTTTTGCCGTTTGCGTTTTCCTCTTTATTGCGTCTGCGTTTTAATGTAATGCCACTTGGACGCTGGCGTGTTGTTCCATTACACTACTACAGACTTACAGTAGTCAAGTTGTCTAACACAATATTTGTTTGTTTATAACCATGCAAACGCTAATTTAGCATCAAATCGTCTTATGGAAACTACCATGGGAATAAAAAATTTAACATGATGTTTTTGTTTTACACAGAAATTTATTTATTATTTACGTATGAAATTCATTTATGCTCATGGTAACATCAAATTGCTGATTTCCGTAATTTCAATGCCAATTTCTTTTCCTTTAAAACAGGTTTGCTCCTGACCAAAAAAAAAAAAAAACAGGTTTGCTATTCTTTTTTTTTATTTTTCAAACCTTACTTTTCATTGAATTAAACTTTGTGGTTACAAGGGTAAGGAAGAGTTATCACAACTCTTAGATTAATAAAACAACTTGAAAGCAATAGAAGATAAGGTTGAAAAATCAGCAAAATATAAATTAGAGGTATGTGTCTCGTTCTTGCCTATAAGTAACATTGAGAGATGGAGATGGGCCGTGAGCGATGGATTCCTGCAAGCTTACTTCGAATAGTTTGTCCTAAAAGTCTTAAATATGTAAGGAACTATATAGCTCAGACATTTGATAAGCCTGTGCATATATCAAAAATCTGATTCGTTTTGACGAGTGGTTGGTTTTAAAAATCTGCTAAATAAAACTTGACAAAAAAAAAACGATGAATTTAGCTCGGAAGTTGAAAATAGAATATTGCGTATTCTTTTTGGCAGGCTTGATAAGTTACCCAGCTTATCAAGCAACGTGGTCCAGTAAGGAGCACGTGTCATGTGACCATTCGTCGATTATCAGAATCAAGAGTGAGGAGACGTCAGCTTTTTGTTTGAATCTGACAAATAATAGTATTTTTTTTGTACTGTAAATCTATTATATTTAATCTGAAAAGAAAGGGTGATTTCTAGACCTTTCTAAATTATTTTAATATGATGTTGGTAGTTATGAGTTTGGTTAGAATTTAAGGCAGGCAAAACCTTCGTTAGTTGTTGTTTTTTCTTTTAAAACTCAAAACACCACGTTGATTGTTTTATATCAACACAGTTGCCAAATTCATTATGTAGTTTTTTTTTTCTTCCCTTGGACGACATTTAAAGTGAAATGGGGAGTATTAATCAAAGTATTGTACTAATCTATAAATGCACACTTGTTTTGGACTCAATGTACAAAACACCAATGGTTGTGGTCTCCATAAAATGTCAATAGAAGCATGTTTGTAACCGCATAAAATTAACAAATCGATTGAAATGAGTTTCAAAAGTAAATAAGTCACCGTTATAGTTATACTGTAACAACAAAAATCACTGAACATTCAATCACCTTTAAGCGAAACATTTTCAGAAGTTCATATCTATTAGCGAGAAGCAGCCCATTTTCTCTATTCCTTGAAAATCAACACATTCGTTGATAAATTGACTTGGTCGAATGTTTCTAAAGATTGGCGTAGAAAATACTATGGCCAAGATAAAATTCCAAATCCATACTACCAAATTATTGCTTTTTAGAGAAGATTTGGTGTTTTTTTTAAACGGCTTGTTTACCACAAATAATTAGATTCTCAACACACAAAATGGCTCTCCAGAAATTCAAACACTATTGGTATGGGTGAGGTGAAAAATATTTTCATATATATTTTGAATATGAATATAAGCTTTGAGATTTGTTCTATTTTACAAAGTTTGACTCTGATTAACTGAGTTAAACGTGGTTTTTCTTTCTTAGTTAGGTGGACTGTTTCAATTTGGAATAAAAAATATAATATAATGAATTCATCGAAAAATATCTAAGATATTTTACTCAATTATTATTATAATAGATTCTGACCGGTGCAGCACATGACTAAAAGCTTAAAATGTCGATGTTTGACAAATGACACATGACTTTCACTCAAATCTGCTCCTTCGCATGTGACTTGCCTTTTCCATCTCTACATTATTTAGCAATCAGCAAAAAGAAAAAGGCATACGTTATCAAGCAATATGACATCATAAAAGATTTATAATTTATCAAACTCCGGCCAGATCTCTGTAACTCTATCAATGTGTACTTCTTGAAGCTAGATAGTGTTTCTGTGTTTATTAGGGGAACAGAACGAAAATAATGGAACCCTAGATATACTTTCTTTGATCAAAAATAAAATGTATGATATGATATGAGTTATCAAGAAAACAATTCTACGGGTATGATATTAGGTGATGCAATTTTTAAAATATTGTCAGCTACTTTGACAAATGCATAGTTACGATCAGTTTATCCTCAATTTTTTTTTTTTTCGGTTCTATACGATTACAAAAAGTCTCATCTCATGTTGACATAGTAATTAACATAGTAACATACATAAACTCGCATATACAGAAAATAGCGTAATGAAAGTTGTAAGTTGTACTCTATAATATAATACATCCTTGAAACGTTTTAATCATGTTCAAAATTATATAAATAAAGATGAAGACTTACCCCAACAACCAAACAATTAACAAACCAACAAAGAGAAGTGAAAATTTGTTTGCCACATCAGCAAAGTGGTCCTAACAAGGACCGTCGGTAGTCTTCGTCGGCGCAGACGGTTGTTGACTTTGCTGTCCAGCCGGAGAACCAAATCTCAACAGCTCCATCGGCTGCGTTTTAAATATCAAACCACAATGTGTCAGATTAAACTACGTCGCTTCATACTAATGCACACGGCGTCGTTTATACGGCTTCGTTTATTATTCTTAAACCAGAATCCTAAAACTACACCGTTTAACACTTCGGTAAACGTCGTCGTACTATCTTACCTGAGTAGCGGCCTGCATCGGTGGGAAACCGCCGATGTACCTAGCAAACCGTTCGGATAAGACCTGGTTTTGTACCGGGTTCTGAAAAACTAAACCGGGATTATTCTGAATCGCAGACTGGTCCATAACCGGGAATCGAGGAAACGGCACCGGGTTCTGCATCGGACGGATGAACGGCGGAGGATGTACTCCGGGAAACATTATAGGAGCCGCTGCCGTCGCCGCCATTCCACTTCCCATCCACATAGCTTGAAGCTGTAACTGAAGTGATTTTAAGTAATCTATGGCTTCGTCCAAGATCGAAGCTTTATCAGTCTGCAAAACCAAATCCAATTAATACCAAATCTTGGATTTAACCAATCAACCTCCATATCAGATTCGATCTTGTAGCTTACTTTACTGCAGTGAGGTATTAGTTCTTGCAAAGCCTTCATTCTCTCATTGATCCTATCCCTCCTCCTCTATTTTAATTTAACAAAAAACAGAGTTTTGTATCTGTTTCTCTTTGTCTGAATACACAATCTACTAACATTAAACTATATAATATATATGTATTATATATTTATCAACGAACCGATGAAGTACCCTTTCGGAGAGATTATGAACTTCAGCTGCTCGACTCCTTCGCGTTGATCCTGATCGCTGGTTCGACTTGTTACCGATAGCCTACAAAAACGTTTCAAGAAACTTTTAGACAATGGACCAAAAAACGTCTCAAGAACTTATCATCATGAGTTACAAAACAAAAGCTTACATCTGATCGAGACACAGATTCATCAGTGTCCATTATATGTTTTCTCTTACGGTCTGTTGTGAGGCTTCTTCCACTAGCCATATCTTTATTGTTCTTGCCAAAGCTGCAACCGGAGGAGCCACCTGATGATGAACTTGCGTTCGGGAAAAGCCTTTCATCGATGATAGTTTTGCTTCGATCATGACTAATCGAGACATCGAGATCGTTCTGAGATTGGTTGCTCCCACAATGGCTCGGTCCAACGGTCACCACCGAGTACTGTTCTTTTCCTCCTGATGAGGAATCGGTTAACCTAAACTTAGGAGGAGGCATGACCTGAGGAGGGCTAGGACCGGCCTTGTGCTTAACCGTTTGTGAGACTGGTCTCTCGAGGTGATCAAGGGTTGATAAGAAATGGGAGGACAAGTCCTCGTTTTCGAATGGGTCTTCATCTGGAGGGTATTGGATCCAAGAGACGGTTTCTTGATCTTCAAGAAATGTGTTGGGTCTTAGGGTTTCTTGACGATGATCTTCTTTCTGACTTTGGGCTTGGGTTTGCTCTCTCTGATTTTGGCTCTGCAGAACCACTTGCCCATCTCGCCATAACAACTCCACTAGTTCATCTTGTGGCCTACACATAAGATACACAAATAGACTTATTATATAGTTCTATTTTTTTTATTCAAGAATGAAATGTTAAATGGATACATAAATTAAATATTATATACCTTATAGATCTTATATTAGCGGAGAAGTTGTAATTCTCCTCAAAATTCCAACCTTGTTGTTCCATGTCAGATCTCTGGAGACATATCAAAACAATTTTTTTATTTAACCTCAATTATTATAGATACATAAGTGAACAGAGCTAATGATAACTTATGATTAAGAGATGCAGAGGAGCATAAAGTAGGATTTTATAATTCCACCCCCCAAACAATCATTATAAAATGTTTTAGAAATAATTAAATTACAAGCAACTCCATTATCGATCTCCTGTTACATGTTTTTATATATATACAATATATTCCAGCAATCTCGTAAGGATTTTAAAAAATAGAGAGAGAGAGAGATAAAAGAAAAGGAAACAGATTCCAAATATAGCAACCGAATCACAGTACTTACCAGATATGGAAAGCTTTTGGGCGAATCAGAAATTGAAGGAAGAGCTCGAAACCTGATTTGTGGAAGCCGAAGTTCCACGCCCAACAAATTTTTTAAGAAAGAAACAGAATTTTCTCTCTCCTATCACTCGTTTTTCTCACTCTAAACTAGATAAACCCAAAATACCAGAAATTGCTGAGAAACTCTCATGAAACATGAAAGAAACAGAGAAGAAGAAGAGAGAGAAGGTAAGGTTCTTTACTTAATTTGGGTACAGACAGAAAGCGACAGGAACATAAAGAGGGGAGCGAGAGAGAGAGAGATATTACATTACAGCGAGGGAGATAATGATTCTGTAAGGACAACAGTACTGCAACCGTTCAGAACGAACGCCACGTGGCAAGTTCTGGGACATTATGTTGGAATCACTGGGACCCACTAGTTGAGATCTTCTTCCTCTTTTAGAGACGAGAGATCTATTGCTAGATTTCTAGAGGTGGCTTCTTATCTGTACCTTATCCAAAAAAAACTCTGCAAACAATGATTTGAGGGTGTTTTTGTCATATCCTATGGCTTCTTTCTCTGAGTGTAATTTATAAGTTGGCGTTTTATTCTTCACTAACCGCCAAATTAAATTACGTTTCTTTTTGTTGCCTACGGTCGAAATATTGTCTACGTTCTATGGTTTCATTGAATTTGAGGGGCACAAAAGTCTCAACAAATTTATGATTGATCATATCATAGTTTTCGCCGGTTCCCAAATCGCATATCACGTTGGATAAGAGAAAAAAACAATTTTTTTTTTTGTTGTTGGATAAACTTTCACACTACAAAAATTGTACTTTTGATAACCTTAATATTTTTTTTTTATGGTAGAAAATAGTTATTTTTCTTTTGTAAATTTGAAATATATATACTGTTTGTTTTTTTGGTAACGTTTTGCAATTAATTCTGGTGTCGTAATAGCAATTATTCGTGGGCCGTCGTCGTACCTACTGGCAATGGACCACATACCACACCGCTTCTCGGATTCTATTTTTAACATCATCGCTATAATTAGACACCATAAAGTTTGTAAAAGTTATATAGTATATCATTTTTCTCTTAATTTCACAGTGAAGATAAAATCTAATCAAACTCTAGTAACATGATTTCGCAAACTTTATTTTGAAATGAATTTAAAGATTTCTTAGATTCAAATTGTGTGATAGCCAAAGAAACGGGCATCGAATGAACGGAATAGACATAATAATGACAACATAACAAAATATTGAATAAACCGTGTAACGTGTAACGGTCGGTGATGGAGCATGGAAGAAAGATGCACCGTGCACGTGTAAATGGATTGGGATGGGATTTGAGAAGACTCAAATGAAACTGTGATATTGTTTGGACTCCTCAAGTCTTCAATCTTCATACAGAAATTCGGAGTATATATCAAATGGGCAATGGAGAGTGTGATATTACTTGATCACTCATGTTTTGTTTGAGACGTATTCATCAAGTCACCGGAAATATGGCATTTCTACAAAAAATGTTCTTGTCCAAGATACTGGGAAGACAAGGAGTAGTTTTGATCGGTCGAATATTCAGTTCAACGAGCATCTAATTGAGTAGCACAATTAATTTTAAACAGATTTAGCCTTATATATATTTTTTGGTCAGTTATCTTAATCGTACTCTTGTCACATATTTAAAATTCCTCTGTGTTACAATGTACATCAGTACATGTATTAATTAATTTTCTATCTCTGTCTCTTGTGCCTTGCTGAAGCCTCGAGCCCACAAAGCGTTGCCTTCGCTGACAAGAGCTTGACATTCGATTTTTTTTCAAGAGTCGATAGTCATGTATGTAATGGGCCTGTGGTTAAAGCCCAAAAAAACCAAATCTTTTTGTTTGACCAAATTAAATTATAGTATATATGAAAAGACTCAAAACGCAAAGTGTGAACCTTTAAGCAGCGGTGGCGGCGTGGCGGCGGAGTATCGACGGTTATTCTTTCCGTCAGCACAGAATATTTTCAGTTATGGAAATACCAATTGCCGACGTTTCTAATTCCCGTTTTTCTAATTTTGATTGTTGTAGTATTTTTCTTTGTCGAAGTATGAACATACCCTTTATAGAAACCTGATACTGATATATCACATTCAATGTTTGTCTCTTTTTTCATGTCCAAGAAATTCAAAAAAGTTATAGAGTTGAACATTTAGATATTATGTTCCTTTGACTCTCTTCCTCATTTGAAAAGTTTTTAAAGTTTTTTTTTTCTTTATCTTCCCGAGAAGATTGGATTCGTACTAAGATTGTTGTTGGCAACTTTTGTTACTTGTTTCTTTATTGAAATTTTATGATAATATTCAACAGTCAAAATCTGGACTTTGAATGTTATTTAGATCGAAATGAGTCACTTTCCCATTTGGCACAAGACAAGAGCTAAGTTATCGCCTGTCCTTTCCTTTGATAATTTATTTCTCCTTGCTGTCGTTTTAAGATTCATCTGCGGATTTCAAACTTCTTATATCTTTTTTTCTTTTGTTTTCTCTGTATTACTAAACTTATTCTTTTTGTGTGTGGGTTTTATTCATTTTACTTAGAAATTAGAACGAACGAAATCAACACAACAATAATACTAAAGTCTTTACATGGTTTGACACATTAGCTTTTTGAAGTTTTATAAACATGATACCTCAGCAAAAATAATCACCAATCAAAACATTTTATTAATACATCTCATCCACTTATTTTAATTTTTAAACTTAAACCCATTAAAAACTCAAATATTTTTTCTATTAATTTTTGTTTTAACTTTTACCAAATCCAAGCTCAAATAATTAATAACAGCAAATATTTTTTTTTTTTTTTTGCCAAATCCAAACTCAAATAATAAATAAAACAAATAAAAAAATTAAATCATTATTTTTTTTTTTTTGTCAAAACCAAATCCAAATAATAAATAACAACATATAAATAATAATAAAATTCTAGCTATCTGTTTGTTTGACATAGACGTATATGATTGAAAAAGTGTAGGCTCAGCATCAACTATGCTTCTATGACAACAACGCAAAAAACCTTATGTTATAAGAAGCTCATACATCAGCAAAAATTTGAATTGATAAAAACATAACAATTTCTTAGTTTTCACGTGAAAACATAATTTCACGGAATATAATGCAATTTTTGGTTTTCACGAAAAATTGTAGTTTATTTGTTTTTGTAGGAAAGCGTGATTCTGGGCTTGACGAGAAAATGATTTTTTTTTTTGGCAGGAATAGACGATTTCTCAGTTTTCGCAGAAAAAATAAAATTTTCGATTTTGGTGGGAAAATACAATTTTTTTTTGGTTTTTGGAAGAAGATGAAATTTTTTGGTTTTTGTGAAAAATATAATTTCTCGCCTTTGGTAGAAAAACACAGGTTCTCGCGGAAAAATGAAATTTTAGGTTTTAGGTTTGACGAGATAATGAATTTTTTAGTTTTGGCGGGAATAAGCGATTTCTCAGTTTAATGGGAAAATGAAGTTTTTTTTTGTTTTGACGGGAAATACGATTTCTTGATTTTTGTAAGAAGATAAAATTTCTCTGTGCTAAATTTCCAAGTTAAAATATATTTACAGTAATCAAAATTTAATTATTTAACTTTAACTAAAACGATATTTTAAGAATTCAAACATAATTTTCTATTTATTTCTAAAACAATAGCAATGGTTTTGATATGAATGTTATTAATTATAGTTTGGTAGTTTTACAAACATATGTTTATAATAAAATATTTGATAAATAAATAAATTTTATGATTCAAAATAATCATATTAATTAATAAATCTTTTTTTTAAAATGGTATTTTGCTTTATATAATTACAAAAGAGGATCAAGTGGTAATTTATTAGAGAAAATAGATTACATTTACCATTAGCATGAAGCTATTAAAAATATATTGTTTTATTCGTATATATTTTATTCCTATATATACATTTATAATTAGTTAGCTAACTAAATTTAATAGCAAATTATAATTTTAAAAAATAAAAAATAATAATAATATATATAATGTTTATTCAGATTTAAAACATATAAATACATAACTTAAACTAATAAAAAAATAAATATAATACTTATTTAAATTATAAAAATAATTTTATTATATTAAAAATATATATAAAATTTAGAAAAATATCCTGCAGCATAACGCGGATAAATACCTAATAATTTTGTAAAACACATCACCGAAACCAATGTTTCGTATTCTATATTTTAACGTCCATCCGATACGTGGATTAATAAAAATGAAAATTATTATCATTGGGTTAATTAGAAAAATATATATTATCGTCTGTCCTTTCATTTGATAATTTATATTTCTCCTTGCTGTCGTTTTAAACTCAATCTACGAATTTCAAACTTCTTATATATTTTTTTCTTTTGTTTTCGCTGTATTATAACTAAACTCTATTTGCACAAACACACACACACACAAAACCTAACTCTTCTTTTTGTTTTGTTTTGTGGTTTTTATTCATTTTACTTAGAAATTTGAACGAACGAAAATAGTTTGTAAAACACAATACCGATTTCTATATTTTAACGTCCCGCCGATACGTAGATTAATAAGAACGAAAATTATAAGCCATCTTTTTAGATTGAAATATTTTTCATTTTTTTTGTTTTGTAATAACCAATACGGCAAATACTCACAATATGCTACATTCTTTGTATACAGAAATTATATTTTGTAAATACAGTCAGACGATTTGGGCATGGAATATATTCAAATCTCGAAATAAGATTATTGCTTTCGTTCAATTATTATTATTGGTTTAAGAAAAAGTATGTACTATTAGCTTTGTGATCAAACAACTTTGTCGCGTCGACTACACTTTTTTTTTTTTTTTTTTTTTTTTGAACATTTGCTACACTTTTTGCATGGAGTATTTTACGTTCTCGTAAGATAATGTTAAAATGGAGCTAATGACAAATGAGATCATGTAGACGTCATTATTACCCTCATCAAAAAATATTATCGCAGCGTGGCAAAAACAATTAATTATAACACTTGCTCACTGTTTTTGTTTGTTTTACCATCGCTTTCTCAACCAAAATATTGCGTGTCGTATTTTAGGGCGGTAATAATACTAATGAATTAGGTTTTTATTAAGAAAAAAAAAAATTACATAGGCCTGTTAGTTCTATATTGTTTATTGTGTTGTTACTTATTTTTTTAGTTATCTTGCTTTAGTTGGAACAGATTCTGTTAAAAATGGTATGTTTATCGGTCCAAAAAATAGTTATTAAATATTTTGAATTATAACAAAAAAGTAGTAAATAAAACTTCCTTTAACTACAAGTGTAACTAACACTTTGGAATGCAGTAGAAAGTTGATGATAAGAGAATGGATTATTCAATAGATTTGGTCTACCATCGACGTTTGTGTTTGGCTTTCCGGCTATCAAAATATATATATAGTCCACAGAGGAGGCATAATTAAAAGTTATCTTTTGGTTCGTCTGAGAATCTTACTTTTATTGTATTTTACATCTTTTCAACATATTGGAAATTTATAATACGGTCAAACCACGTGAATTCACCTATACGTATGCATTGAACTCCCTTGAACTTACAGTTTATTGATTAGTATTTGATATAGCTGGTTAAGTAGTGTACAAGTGTATATATACGTAACAACTACGGATAATGACATGTTTAGATTTCGATAGTATTACATCATACATATATTTTCCTTTTTTGCTGGCAATATTACATCATATATAAATTAGTTGCAATCAACGATCTAATTATTTTCCATTTCCCTGGACTTTTCTGCTCACTACAATAAACAGGACACCGATATTTAAATTATGAAACTTCATAATCACTCATTATTTGTTTCGTGATCAAACTAAAATATAAATTATTTATTTTTTGTACTTTTTTAAGATGTATCTTTTAACACAACAAGAAGTTTTTTACGTCTAAATATACCACATTTAAAATAAAATAATTTTCAAAAGTATCTAGACGAAACCAATCAAACCAAACTTGTTTGGGTTTCCCGGTCTTTATTAAGGATCACAATAATTTATAAATTTAAATAAATGACCGCCTTAATATTAAATCCCAAAGACCATAAAATATATGACGAATATACAAAATTCTTATTTATGTAATCAAATAAATAACTTTTAAATAGTAGTGATTATACCCGTAAAAGGTCCTTGTTTTGATTTAAAACATTCTATATATTTGGTTAACAGTAATAATAAATTAGTACCGGCTTTCATTAAGATGTTGCATGTATAATAAAAGTCAAAGTCATTCATAATTGACTCAGTACCAATTAAACGGCATAAAATTAATCTATAAATTGATAAACATTCAGCTATATATAATTACGTATGTAAAGGGAACTTTTCATTCAGAGAGACTTGATTCGTGTCATAAAGAGATCGATGTAGCGATGATGAGTGGTGAAGGTAAGGATCATGAAGAAGAAGATGAAACAACACTTCCTGGATTCAGATTTCATCCCACAGACGAAGAGCTTTTAGTGTATTATCTCCGAAGAAAAGTAGAGAACAAACCCATCAAACTCGAGCTTATCAAACAAGTCGATATCTATAAGTTCGATCCCTGGGATCTTCCTAGTAAGTCTTTTACATTGCATCACTCTCTTTATAAATATCGATATCCTATGTTATGAATTTCTTTCTAAAATGATCTTTCTTTTGTTTTGTTTTGTTTTTTTTCGTTACTTTCTTTGATTATAGGATAGTAAGTTAGTAAGTAATTAGGAATGTTTAATATTTTTTTTTGTTGAATAGGGAAGTTTAATATGATCCAGAGCCGATCTAAACGATACAAAACACAAGGATCCACGCGAAAACCATTCAGTTTCATTTTTAATATGGTTTCATTTTTAATATGTCTAAATAAAACAAAAGCACAAAAAGAGATAGATATCTGATCTAGATTAATTCTTTTATAAACTTAAAATATTTTGGTTGATAAATTTGAATTGAACACTCTTTGCTAAATAATTGACACTCCATAAACCGAATGTTCAAAAATCAAAATCTGAACACCTTCTTAGTCAATTGAAACTTCGTGATGCGACATTATATATACATTATTATTATATAAAAAAATATGGTCGGTCAATTTTGGTTTTTGTAAAAGACAGTTTATGCTTTCATATATTAAAAGATTTGGGACCCTTCGTATGAATATAGCACACAAATATCTTTATATATGCATATAAATATTCTATAATGTGCCCAATATCAATCGCATGAAACATTAACTATATAGGTAATCGAACCCGGATTGTAATTTATTTATTGTTGTTAATTTATCGTCTGTGTTTTCTTTGCTAAGTTTATTATTTTAAACTCCTTTTTCTAGTATAGTATCAGCATAAATTTTCATAAAGAGTCAAATTAATAAGAACATATACTTCAATTTTGCTAGGAGTGAGCAGCGTCGGGGAAAAGGAGTGGTACTTCTTCTGTATGAGAGGCAGAAAATACAGAAATAGCGTTAGACCAAACCGGGTGACCGGTTCAGGTTTCTGGAAAGCCACAGGTATTGATAAACCGGTTTACTCTAATCTAGACTGCGTCGGTCTCAAGAAATCTCTGGTTTACTACCTTGGTTCAGCCGGAAAAGGTACCAAAACCGATTGGATGATGCATGAATTCCGCCTCCCCTCCACCACAAAATCCGACTCTCCCACTCAACAAGCAGTGAGTTTTCTTTTTTTCCTGTTGTTAATCCAAATTGTTATATGAAAAAACCGGTTTATTTAACCAAGAAAGCTATGCCCATGCATCAGGCTAAACCATCTTGTCCATTTCTAGTGAGACAATGATTTCTTATCTTCATGGGTTGTTAAATGCTGCAAAAAGTCAGTCACGCATGGACATTTCCAATTTCCATACGACCTATATTGGTCACATATTATTTTTCCTCAAAATGGGACCTCGGACTCTAACTAAAAATTTTCTTTTACAATAAAATCAGAAAATATCAGAGTAATTTTCAAAATACGTGAAAACGTCCACAATAGACTAATTTTTGTTTCCTTTAAAACCGTTTTATGTGTATAATGTGTTCATCCATTAAAAAATAGGGAAAAAGAAAAATTAATGGTCCGTTTTGATTTTCGCAGGAGGTATGGACACTATGCAGAATCTTCAAACGAGCCACACAGCAGCGAAACCCAACCATCGTACAATCAAACCGTAAACCGGTTATGACCTTAACCGATTCGTGTTCTAAGACAAGCAGCTTAGATTCCGATCACACCAGCCACCGTGTCGTAGATTCCTTGCCCTACAAGCTACACGAGCCGCCGCTTCAGATAACACAGACGCAGAATCCTTATTGGAACCAAGATACGGTTGGTTTCAATCAACCGCCTACATACACTTGTTATGATAACAACTTTTTGAGTTTCTGGAACATCAACGGTGGAGACTTCATCGGAGACGCAGCAAGTTGGGATGAACTTAGATCTGTTATAGATGGCAACACTAAACACTTGTAATAATTTTCCTTTTTTGAGCTTTGTATAAAGGATAAAACAAAACCATTGTTTTTGTTTTATAAAATAATAATATACGTATGACACTACTGTCTACTGATCACCATATTTACGATCCCTTAAGACTATACGTTTAGGATCATATAGTTTCATAAGTCAAAAAGGAGCTTAAACTATAAGATAAAATTTATTACTTAAAATCAAAAATCAAATTCTTACAAGAATATTAAAAAACACATATAAGACGAAAATTACAAAAAGAAAATAAAAAAACACTAAAAAAGACAGTAGTTTTGTCTTATTCTTGTTGCTAAAGCAACCAGACAGTTTTCTCTCTTCCAATTTCATTTTCTTTCTTTGATCAATCCTCTGTTGTCTTCACTTCCATTCAAAGGAAAACATTCTCTAATCTTCGAAAAATGAATCTGGCTACATATAGATGAATACACTCATAGATAAGTGAATAAATATCAACGAAAGAGATTCTTGAGATGTTTAAAGAAGTAATTAGAAACAATCTGATTAGTCTTCTCTGTAGGGTGAAAAGCGTCCCAGAAAACGAACTTGTTCGCATCACTGCAAGTTAACGGATTGTCTTGACCGCAAAGAAACCCCATCTCGAAGAATCCCGTGCCGCAACACGCAGAACTAGACACTTCTAGACCGTATTGTGATGGTTTGGTTACAATGTCCCAAATGATATCATAAGGATTAGCAAAGTAAATCTTGATTCCAACAAGCTCTCGATTCAATTTCCTCACCAAATTCCTCAATCTCCCATTGAAATCAACCGCCAAGTCATTGAAACTCCGAGTACAGCTGAAAGGGTCGTCAAGATTCGTCGCTCTTTCCAGTGGTAAACATCCCATGGGAGAGATTCCGGTGAAAGACATTTTCCGAGCTCCTAGTTTGTAAAGATCCTTTAAAAAGACCTCAGCGATCCCAATGAGGAAGTCTTGGTACTGACTGATGCTGAATTGAGATCTCCTGTCCGGTAACGTGTAATAGTTCTCGAGGAAATCGTTGGTTCCTATGCTGACTAAGTACAGCGACTCTCTGATGATACTTGCGGCTCTTCGGTGGCCGAGATAAGCGGTCAGCTTTTGTTGATATTCCTTATAGTACTCGACTTCTTTCCATAAAGGAATCACGCCCTAAAAGGTAAAACGATTAAATCATCTCGTGTTACTTGTAACGCAAGAATCAGACGATATTATTATTAGGTCTTTTGAAGTGAAATGTGGACTTACTAGCACACCGGCGGTGGAATTGTCATAACCTGTACCGGCGGAGGCGAAGCAAACTCCGGTGGCGAAATCAGAGATATTGTAGGACGGATCGAGATAGGCCGGCACAGTAGGTTTAAGACCGTAAGCCTCGGAAGTGAAATCGGAGGAGAGACGGCCATTGCAAAAGCGGCCGGTGGGGCGGCGGCCGGGGAAATCACGACCGTAAGGTTCGAAATTGGCTCTAGCCATGGTTTGTATGAAGTTGTTATTGCCGGAGTCTACGGAAGAGTCGCCGAAGACAATGATCGCCGGGACTTTTGCTCTTGTTCCGGCGATGAAGACAAGAGTGGTCAAAATAATGCATAATATTGATGGGGACAAATAATGCGTTGCCATACTAACAACTTGCTTAGCTAGACGGCGATGCTACATAGGAATTTCATTCAATATATATATACTGTACATTATATATAGTAGAATTTACTATTTAACATACTTATTGTAAGATATGTACGAATTCTTGTATATAATTTGGGTGAATTCCAGTGTACTATAAGTTGTTCGATTTCGGTGGTATATATAGAAAAAATGGTTTTTTCTATAAGAACGTAGGATTTAAGATATTTTCGTTATTTGGTTTGTATCATAACTGAGCATCTTTTGCTTAATTCTATATAAACTTGATTAAAGAACCATACAAAAAAAAAAAAAAACAATACAGATCAGTTGCAAGTATTTATTGAATTAGAAGTTTGGTAGGTATATGATATAATGCGTGCATGCTCACTGCGCTCATTAACAGATATCTACCTAAAAGTAGTCATGTGTATATAAAAGTTATGCATTTTATAATGGTAAAAACACTATTGCTTTCACAACCCTACAATATTACATTCAAATTTGGTTGAATTCTAGTTATGAGAAGGTAATATTAGTGAAGAAAACTGTTGGATGACTACAACAAATTCCGGATAGAAACAATGCTTGTCAAAATGAATGATCGATATTTCAATTATAAATTGTATTTACAACAGACAAAAAAAACTTTACGAAGAGGTGATATAAAATAGGTAAAGGCTCCCATCAACTAATTGTGTGGTTTCGTGTACGATGCAATAACTCTTTTTATATCATATACTATATCTTTCGAATATCATCAAATGCAGTAATATATTGTGAAGGTGAGAGAGGTCTGTTGTATTTAAACCTTAGAGGTAATTAAGAAAAAAAAACTATGGAGAAGGCGAAAAGAAAGAGAGTAGAAATAGAGTGGAAGTGGTCGGTCCAAAAGGGGATATTAAATTTGGCAATAGAGGGGTGATAAAAGTGGGTGGTGAGGTAATAAATGAAACAGCACATGTAGAAGAGATGTCCTCTGATCATTATTTATAATTATACAATAATGTAGTTGCACCGTGACCCGCATGATTCGTAACAATCATATCATATAGCCTCATCAATTTCTTTTATAAAAGTTTTGGTAGCTGTAGAAAATTAGGTTCCAACGTCAGTATTAGAGTTATTTCAAAACCATTTATTGCTTGCATGCATGTGATATAGTGGTTAGACGTAATTTTTTTTTTTTTTTGGATTCAGTTTTTACTAGCATCGTCTGTTTTGCCGGCTGCTTGTATTGTCTGATCCTTGTAAAGCAATTTAAACAAGATCTCTCCTGGTGTCAGGATCCAGTTAAAGATCCGTTGGACCAAGCTTTTCGGTGAGGTTGGTTCATTCTTGAAATTAGCATGGCATTGTAATATGCTCAAACATGATTTCATAGTCTAAAAGAGTACTCTCACGTACAAATTGATTTTTAAAGTGATCCCAATACGTGAAATCTTACAATGACAGGTTCTCTTTCTGAATTTCTGGACAACTAAGCAAACACTCCAAGTAAGATCGTTGAAGCTTAATAGTAAACCGCTAAGCAAAAAAAAAAAAGATCGTTGAAGCTAAGCTATGTGTCTTGTGCAGAACTATTTTTTATATTCTTTTTGTTTGATCGGTTTATCTTAATAGTTATCGTACCCATCATATATAACCCATTCATGATGTTTTCACATTAGAAAAAAAAAAGAAGATCTGGCTACAATTTTGCCAAATTTTTAATGTCAAACAAATCGGCTACAATATAATATCACCGATAAAACTATTTTTGGGATGAAATACTTATCAAACACATAAGCATTTCTTTTTAGAATACGAAATATCGATTGAAAATGATAAACATGGAAATATATTGGAATTACGTGCACACTTAGAAATGAATGTTTGGTGTAGATCATATGACTGATTGAATTAATGTTAACCTGTTTGTTCATCTTAGTCTGGTTAGGAACACGTTACACTTACACACAATTCTCAAAGTCAAATTCGGATCTTTTGCTTTATTTCTTTTCTTACTGAGTTTGTATCAGATTTGTATAAAATAGTATTTTACATCAACATATATATACTGTTGTTTTCATACAAGTAAACCTGAATTGTATTCTAACACTATACGTATGAATAATAAGAAAGATAGCAATATTAGATGGTTTTTATTTTATAAACATTTCTTTCACAAAACTTAATTATACATATAATACTTTACTTAGTAGTGTTCACAGTATAGCTTTTTTATTTTCAAAGACATTTCTTTTCACAAAACTTAATTGTACACGCGAATAGTGGTGGAAACGGAAAAGTACAGCTTTTTTATTTTCAAATTTTCCAAAAATCTGGTGCATTTCCAACATAAGTTCTGGTTCCCTCAAACATTTTGTTTTTGTTTTTAAATAAATAATTTGAATGACTGTTTACATTTCGTTAGTCACGGTCAAACACACTTAAAATGAAACTTCTACAGTCAATTAAAGTATGATAGTCTAATTGATCCCTAAAGTGATCTCAATTAATTATATTTTTTTCTGATTAATAAGTCGCAATGCGGATGTGATATTTGAACTAACTATGTGGCTAGTACTTACAAAAATCTTATACACCTTAGAATCGAGTCAAACCTTAAACTATACAACTTAAAAGTAAATATGACGTATTAAAAAACAATAAATATGTTAGTTGAAAAAGAAAACTTTAGCCTGTCTGTTTTTTGCTATATAAGTTCTTCCAAATCTATCGATTTACTACATACGAGATGCATAGATAATCATTTGATTAATATCATAATTGATGATGAATATTTGATGTAGTAAATAAAATTGCGATTTACATGTCATATCACTTTTTCTTTTGATGAAAAATTGTTCTCTAAGTTAGAAATGTGTCAAGAAGTAAAGCATTGTTAAGAATGGTATGTTCATTTTGTTCAGCAAAAAAAAAAATATTTGAATTTGACAAAAAGAAAAGTCTTATTTGAAATTTACTTTTGAAGTACTACTACTACGAAATACTATATAATATGCATGATTTATTAAACATAGAAATTTCGTAATTCAACGAAAACCAACGAATTTGAAGAACAAAAGGTTTAAGAAATTTATTTATTTGAACCGGTCTAACTGAAGACCACCTACAATATTCTATAAGCTCGAATATTTTCTGCAATTTTTTTATTTGTATTTTGAGTAGATATATACTGATATATAGTGTTTTTTTTTTAATTATCTTCTCAAAATACAAGAAATACAAATTGTACATATAGTAATCTCGATTCTGTTTGACTTTCAGGAAATCGTCCCTTTTTATGTTAGCTCCTCTTTTGTCAATAGAGGCTATAACTCAACTCTCTCATAGGTCTCTCTCTTTCTTTTATCATTCGTTCATTTATTCGCTCGCATTTTCCCAATTTCCACTAACCTTTTCTATATTATTCCGAGCTCCATAGTCGCCGGAGATCTCTCTCTCACTCTTTTTTTTTGTTGTTTCTTATTACTTTAACGGGTTTATTAGTAATCTGAGCACTCAGCAGCTTAATGTCGTCGACCAAACTAAATATTATTCTTGCCCTGATTTTCTTGACCGTCACACCATTTTCTGGCGACTGTAGAACTCTTCCCGAGAAATCTGAGCATAATAACTCATCATCTCTTTACGGCTTTAGTTTCCAAGATTCGATGCGTCTCAGTGACGTTTCTTCTTCGACAAGAAATGACTGCGGTTTCTCCTCCACAGAACATGATCCTGCCAAGGACAATACCGAAGAATCGGTGAAGCTTCAATTAAAGCGCCGGGCGATTAAACAAGAATCAAAGATAACAACACATTCAGTTGTCGATCTCAAAATCCAAGACCTCACAAGAATCCAGACGCTTCACGCACGGGCTAAGAAGACGCAGAACCAGAAAAACGAGAAAGTTACGAAGAAGATAACCTCGGTTGTTTCTCCGGTGGGAGATCCAGAGGCTTCACCGGGGCAGCTGGTGGCGACACTCGAGTCCGGTATGACTCTCGGTTCTGGTGAATACTTCATGGACGTGCTTGTTGGCACGCCACCAAAACACTTCTCTTTGATTCTTGACACAGGGAGTGACTTAAACTGGCTCCAATGCCTGCCTTGCTACGACTGTTTCCACCAAAACGGTCCGTTTTATGACCCCGAAACGTCTGTTTCATTCAAGAACATAACATGCAATGACCCTAGATGCAGCCTCATCTCATCACCCGATCCTACAGTACAGTGCGTGTCGGATAACCAATCGTGCCCTTATTTCTACTGGTACGGAGACAGATCAAACACAACAGGAGATTTCGCGGTTGAGACCTTCACCGTAAATCTCACGACCACCGAGAGAGGAAGCTCAGAATACAAGGTGGAAAACATGATGTTTGGGTGTGGCCATTGGAACAGAGGTCTCTTCAGTGGTGCTTCAGGTCTGCTTGGGTTAGGAAGAGGACCTCTTTCGTTTTCTTCTCAGCTTCAGTCTCTCTACGGCCATTCCTTCTCATATTGTCTTGTCGACAGAAACAGCGACACCAATGTAAGCAGCAAGCTGATCTTCGGAGAAGACAAGGAATTGCTGAACCATCCAAATCTGAATTTCACATCTTTTGTGGACGAGAAGGAAACTCCCGTGCAGACATTTTATTACGTACAGATCAAATCCATTCTAATCAACGGCGAAGCTCTTGACATACCTGAAGAAACATGGAACATCTCATCAGATGGTGGTGGTGGAACCATCATTGATTCAGGTACAACCTTGAGCTACTTCACGGAACCAGCATATGAGATCATCAAGAACAAGTTCGCAGAGAAAGTGAAAGAGAAGTACCCGGTGATTAGAGATTTCCCGATCCTAGATCCTTGCTTCAACGTGTCTGGCACAGAGGAGAACAACTTCGAGCTGCCTGAGCTCGGGATTGCTTTCGCAGACGGCGGAGTTTGGAACTTCCCGGCAGAGAATACCTTCATTTGGTTGAGTGAGGATTTGGTTTGCTTGGCGATTCTTGGAACTCCTGAATCTGCCTTCTCCATCATTGGGAACTACCAGCAACAGAATTTCCATATACTCTATGATACAAAGAGGTCTAGGCTAGGTTTTGCACCCACAAATTGTGCAGATATATAAACCTCTTGTAGATTTATCACACACATCAAGTAACTGTACACACATGAAGATCCTATTGTCTATCATTCCTATTCAAATAACAAGTAACACAAGAAAAGATTATGCAACCTCTCTGTTCATTATTGGATATTTTCATGTGTGGATTACAAGCAAAACCCTGCTACTATATGCATTTTGACAAAAACTTTATATTTATGGGAAGAGTTGAACATAGCCAGTCAAAATAGCAATCCCTAGGATCAACAAAGGGGGAAGGATTACAAAGGCACCGATGGTAGCAAAGAAGACAGAATCGTTCCTCCGAGAGACCTCGTTGAGGTAGGTTTGCCTCTTGATGTTCCGTTTCTGAGAGATGGTTAAGAATTTAGGACTCACTTTCTTTAGGTTTTTCCCCAAGGGAATGGTGAAATCATCGTCTCTGTCGCCAACAAGCCCAGCCAATTGGTCACGGACTGTGAGTCCCCTTGAGCCGCCGCCACCACCATCACTCACGTACCCTGATGATTGATATGAAACCCCTTAGTGATTCTACGATTCAGATGAAAATTCGAAAAACCCGAGTCCAAGGGGTAAATATCAGTCGTGTACCGTCGCTTGTGGAAGTTAGCTGCTCAAGGAGATCTAGTTGTGTGCGTACTGATGATGAAGAAGAAGAAGGACCTTCAAGGAAACGAATCGATGGTTATCAGAACTCAATAGACGAAATTCATTTCTCAATTTTCAAGTTCGCCGAAGAACCAATTTGGGAAAATTACACAGCTTCACGATACCGCAAAACCCTTATTGACATCAGAAACACCTAAGCTCAACGATATGCGAAAACAAGAATCAAACAGAAGAAATCGGATCATGTACCAGAGAAATAAGACGAAGAAGGATCACCGTCGTTGTCAGTGACGCCGCTTTCGCTACGCTCAGAACGGACGCGTGTTGCTGGAGGAGTAGAGAGTTGCAGAAGGATGTGTTTGTGCTTGGATCGAGACGAAGAAGAAGAGGAAGATGGGTTCGAAATTGGGTGAAGAGAAGCGGAGAAGAAATTCAAGGCCATGATCTGAGAAAGGCTGACACTCCCAACTGCAAAAATTCGATTTTTATTTTCCTTTATTGTTCCTCTGAGATTCCAATTGTTTGAGAGGTCAGGAAAATTTTCAAATATTATTTGGGAAAAATAAAAAAAAAAAACAGAAAGAACGACTCCACTGGGGATCGAACCCAGAGTCTCTGGTTTCGTAGACCAGCGCCTTATCCATTGGGCCATGGAGTCATTTTTGTTTAACTATTTCAGCTGTTACCTATTTGTATAAACAAAAGCATCAACTAAACTCTAATCCAAGACCAAGACACAATACATGACGTTCTTGTTAAACAAAAAGTGTTTATCTGTCAATAATCCTTCAATATGAGAGATGAAGAAACATAATTAGTAAAAAATCATAACCAAAGATAATATCAACTATCAACTATATATGCTAAATGATGGGAGAAGAAAGTACATCATCTTCGAGTGAGGCTTACATATGTGGCTTCTTTTATTTCGTTTGCACTTTTTTTTCTATAGTTGATTGAATTCAACCATGTTAAACGATGTTAGAAGAAAGTACAGTTCTAGATGTATAAAATGGATACTATATCTTGCAAACTGATATTCTTGTATGTACGTAACTCTCCACTAGAAGAAATGAATAAACTTTTACGTGAGAGATTCATATGTATATCACGTGCTAATTAAAAAAAAAAATTGTTTAGGGATTACCGTTGTATTGGAGCTCCAAACCTAAAGATCTATATGGTAAGCAAAATTTTATATCTCTAGTTACTTTGATTCAAGCAGTAGATTTAAACTACTTAGTTTAAAGCAAAATTCGATAATACTTGTTAGATTATTAAACTTTATTCTCCCTTGTTCTGATGTCCGATTTGCCAAAACTCAATACCAAACTTTTGCACGTTAGATTTGAAGTAATTTGAATTTGTGATCAGATTCTAATGACACTTGTCAACTTGCATCAACCTATATGGATATTTTTTTAAGAAAAATATACATTTTGACATCAATAATAGCATAAATTGGACAAATGGAAAGACTGTGTATACTGTATTTTTAAGTTTTAAATGATCAAAGAGTAATCATTATTATCTCAGCTTTCCATCACAAAACTTGGGAGAATAATAATACTAAGGACGAATCTAGCTCAAAGGAGGTGTAAGACACGTGAGTAGCACGTGATCACATGGAGGCAACAACAATACTCAGGAAAATTGTCCATTCTTTCCTCTGCAAAAAACCTGGCCATTGCCTGTAAACCCCACCCACCATCATCAACCAATGAGCCCACGACCAAGGTGCAAGTGCAACTTTTTATATCATTATTATGGGGACTTACCATATCCCTAACATCTTTTTAAAATAATTAAAATGAATAAAAGTGTGTAAAAAGCTGATAACGTTTTTTTTTGTTTTTTTTTTTGCAAAAAATAAAAAAAAAGAAAAAACTTTATTATAAAGTTATGCTTCAAGTAAAGCCTCCATCAAAGGCTTTTTTTAATCTCTCTCTCTTATGGATTCATTATCTCCAAGAAAGGCACATTGGTTTCTTTACTTATGAGTTTGTAACATTCCCCAAAACTAAATATATATATATATATATAAACAATTTCTGAATACATTATTGAGTAAACAAAAAATAATAATTAAATTTATAAATAGAATCCAAACTTGACATGTGAAAGGAAGAAAAAAAAGGTATATATTGAAGAGTGAGAATAATGTTGACCTAAAATTCCAAAGCCTGTGTGTTTGGGAATTCCCTCTTCTGTGCTTTGTCCCCTATCTCTATGATTTATCCACTTTCATTTTTTCTTTTGCAATAATATTTTTTTTTTATAAAAATAATTGTAAAAATATCTTTTTTATTTTTCAACCAGCTATAAATGTCACAGTTGACAAATCCACTGTCTTTGCTTTACCTTCACTGCTCACTGCTCACTGCTCACTGCTCTCTCTTCTTTCTCTCTCTCTCTCTCTCTTGTTTCCTCCATTGCAAACAAAGCTTTCCTTCCACCTTTAGTACAGACCCACCAACCATTTTCACCAAACTCTTTTTTTCTTCTCCATTAACCCATTACTGTGTAATTTTATATACACTTTCTTGCTATATCAAGATTTCTTTTTTGGATTTTCCTCTGATTCTTTTTTCATAAAACGGTATCCCTTAACCGAATTCGTTCTGAATCGAGGAGTTTAGCTTTTGTGGGGTAGCTTAAGTTCAAGCTCAAATTCATCAGTAGAATATATTTATGGCAATTGCTTTCTGTTGTTTATTTCACTTTCTTTCTGGTTAGTAAAAATGGAGACTTTATTTTTGTTTTCATTGTTTCTTCTGTTCTAAGATGAAGATAAATCAGAAGGGCAACCCCACATTCTAAGGTAAATTTGTATGCTCTGTTTTCTTCTTTTGTCTCATGAGAAAGAAAAAAAAAACATTTCCTTTTTACCTGAATGTAAATAATTCGATAGCGTTATGTGATTTGATTCTCTGTAAATTGTCTCTTGCTTCAAACTTAAGTGATGCTTTTTCGATGAATTTAAAAGCCAGGATTCTCTTCTTTCTCTACTCCCATCCTTTGTGGGGACACTTAATGCCCATTACTTGTTTGTTGATATGTCGCCATTTAATTTACTGAAATCAAATTCCGATGAAAGTGTGCGTTTTTTTTTTAACTGTTTTTGTGATGTGTCTTTTTACTTCCATTTGACATCATATTGACTTCTACAGAAACTGAATTGAAAAAAACTTCCTTTGCTTTAAGATTTGAAGTGTGAAAGACTGATGATTCCTCTTTAGTCCTTGTATGATGTATGATGCAAGTGTTTAAATCTTAGACAGTCTTCTTTGTTGTCTAGGTGATTATAGTGAAGCTGTAAGAGAAGCAACTAGATACAGAACCAGAGATGCCACCTGAGAATTCTTTAAACGCTGAGATGTCAAAGAAGATATCTTTCTTTGGTTTGAAGGGCTTGAAGTTGTGGGTATGGGTTTGTTTGGTAGTAGGAGTGTTCATAGTTATGATCCTCTGCATCCTGTCTCTGTGGATCACATTTCGACGTAAATCTAGAAGATCTTCAAGCAAGTTTCCTTTCAACCAAATACCACATGTGTCCAAAGATATCAGAGTCGACAGGGCTGGGTTTCAGAGTCACAATCCTCAACCCGAGAGTTTATATATCGCAATGAATAATGATAAATCCACTGATAGAAGTTATGGTAAAACGATGATGTCTCACTTAGGAAGAACCAAGTCTAGTGATAACGATACTCTGAGTCAATGCAGCTCCGTGAACCACCATGAGAGAGCTTATAGTTCTCATTCCGGTGAAGAAGGAGGCTTTGGGAAACAGTATGGAGGACTTGTAACAGCATCTCCTTTGGTTGGTTTACCAGAGATATCTCATCTTGGTTGGGGACACTGGTTTACTCTGAGGGATCTTGAGCTAGCCACGAACCGTTTTGCTGCAGAGAATGTGCTCGGAGAGGGTGGTTATGGAGTTGTCCATAGGGGTAAACTCGTTAATGGTACCGAAGTTGCTGTAAAGAAGCTTCTGAACAATCTGTAAGTTTTTTCAATAGCAATAGTATATAATGTTTGTGAATCCTATGCTTTGTTTACTTAATAATCTCATTCCCAATTTTGGTTTCTAGAGGGCAAGCTGAGAAGGAGTTCAGGGTAGAAGTTGAGGCTATTGGTCATGTACGACACAAGAATCTTGTTAGGCTTTTAGGATATTGCATAGAGGGAGTTCATCGGTGAGTCTCACTCGTCTATTCAATTTTACAGAGAATGATTTACAGTATCTAATATAAAAACTGATGAATGCAGGATGCTAGTTTATGAGTATGTGAATAGTGGTAACTTAGAACAATGGCTACATGGAGCTATGAGGCAACATGGCACTCTCACTTGGGAGGCACGGATGAAGATCATTATTGGTACTGCACAAGCGTAAGTGTTTTTTAATTTTAAGTGTCTGTAGTGTAAAGCTATATTGCTTTTAGTTGGGATATTAAAAGGGTCCTGCAATGGTACAAATTTTACAGGCTTGCATATTTACATGAAGCAATAGAACCGAAAGTGGTCCACAGAGATATAAAAGCAAGCAATATATTGATTGATGATGAGTTTAATGCAAAGCTCTCTGACTTTGGGTTAGCTAAGCTCTTGGACTCGGGTGAGAGTCACATCACAACCAGAGTCATGGGAACCTTTGGGTAAAGTCCAAAACTTTGTACCTTCCTAAGGCCATAATGGTTAATTATTGTCTTACTCAGATGATGTCCTTGCAAAGAAATCATCGCTGGTGTTATTTTGGTTTATGGTTTCAGATACGTAGCACCAGAATATGCTAATACAGGTCTGTTAAACGAAAAGAGCGATATATATAGCTTTGGTGTTTTGCTTCTTGAAGCTGTAACTGGACGAGATCCAGTTGATTATGGACGTCCTGCTAATGAGGTGAAGGCATAAAGTAATTTGGTTTTGTGTTATCAATATGTTTTCATTTTCTTGGTGGAATCTTGAATGGATTCTGTGTATTGGCAGGTGAATCTTGTTGAATGGCTGAAGATGATGGTTGGAACAAGAAGAGCTGAAGAAGTTGTGGATCCAAGACTTGAACCTAGACCGAGTAAAAGTGCTTTGAAACGTGCACTTTTGGTTTCGCTTAGATGTGTTGATCCTGAAGCAGAGAAACGTCCTAGAATGAGTCAGGTTGCACGGATGCTTGAAGCCGATGAACACCCTTTTCGCGAGGTATACATAAATTTCACTTTTTGTACTTAAAGAGTGATGAATAGTCCAAAGCTGAAGCAAATTTGTTTATATGTTCCTCCGTATTTGTAACAAAATATTCATGTTTTGGCAGGAGAGAAGGAACAGAAGAAGCAGAACCGCGAGCGTAGAGATTGTTGAGACCAAAGACGAATCCCTTGGTCCTAGCGGCGAACAAGTTCGCATTACAGATACAAAGCTTGAGAAGACTTGTGAATAAGAGACACAAACGCCATTACTAGAATGCTCTGTTTCTACTTGGCAACTAATTGAGTTATATGAATGATGATTTGCAAATCAGATGGCTTGATAAGAATTTTTGTCTTGTTTGTACGGAACTTATGTCAGTCAAAGACATGTGTTCAAGATGCTGTAACGTAAGAGATGGAGAGAATTTAGTTAGCCACGTGTTTGTGGATTGATGACGCAAGCAGAAACAGAGCATAACTACACAGGAAAGAGACAATACTAAGTTCAATTTTAGTGGCTAACTTAAAACCTACAGAATCATTATTATTAGTTTTTTGCAATTCTACAGTATTGAACGAGGACGATAAAAAGTACGAAACTGAATAATTAATACGATAATTTAGTGTAAAAACCACTCGCTTTTCTTGCATTATCTGTCAAATGTTGCGTCGTATTTGTCGTATTGTTTTTCTGATTCTCACTTTCTCGTAACGTCATTATAAAATGTTCAAATTAGATTCTTTGACACGTTCCCCATCACGTGGGACGTGGCCAGTTAAAGCTACATAAGAAATCGTACAAACACACAGACCAATTCGATGCAAATAATTAGGGTAAAGAAACGGTAGTGTATAATCAATTATGTTTTATTTGCTACCAAGAAAATGACTCCATACGAGAAATGAATTAAACGCATAAGTCAAGCTCAAGTCGCTAATTACTTTCTGAAGATAATGGATTAGCTGCAAACAACCCTTTTTCAGATTTTCCACGACCGTATCCATAAACCATAATACACCCTTCTTCAATTGACAGGCATGGAAGCATCATCATTCGAGCTAGAACTCTAATAACGAACTAGTCTAAACTATTATTTTTCTGATAAATTAATATTTTATGTATTTTATAATTAATAATGAAAATCTATCTAATCAATTAATAAATTAGAAACTAAAAAGAGTGACGACCCAAAAACAAAATATAAATAAATATTAGAAAAGAAAGTATATTAAAATAACTTTTAGTTCATAGAATAGCAAACAAGATAACTTAAATCGCCAGTTTACTTGAATTATCATCGATCGTTATCATTTTTTGCAACAACATTGTAAAACTTTCCCAGAACCTATACATGCTCCATCCGAATACTGTTGCTTGCTCAAGCACTTGTCCTTGCATTGAGGTTCTATTAATGCCTTTGAACATGTATCTATGCAATAATCATATCCAAGTATATTGATCGCTGCATAAGTACAGCCAAGTTACATTAAAAAGAAACATATACACACACATAAATTGGTTTTACTAAAATGATCAAAGATAGATGAAGATTAATAACATACCCGGTGAGGCAAAAACTTCAGAGCTGAACAATGACACTGCTAGTACCACAATAAGAACAAAATTCACAAAAACTTTTGTCATCTTCATTATTTTTTTTTTACTGTTAATTTTGATATTATAAGAAAGACGTCTATGGTAATCATTTTATTAATACAATACAGATTTTAATGGATTTGAAGTAAAGGCTTCTCTCTTCTTTTTTTTGGGCAAAAGTAAAGTCTTCTCTATTCCAACGATTAATATAATAGAGATTTTAATGGATTTGAAGTAAAGGCTTCTCTATCCTTCAATAGTGACTGATCAAACTGGTCACGACTATTTCAACATAATAAATTCAATATATATGTACATATCTTGCTGCTTTGATTTTCTTTATTCATTACTAAAATAATCTCTCTTAGTTTTTTTAAAGTTTAAAAGTTCGAACAGTAACAATTTACAAAAACACCCGATTGATTAAATTGATCACGGCTATTTCAACATAAAAAGAACTCAATATTTATATTATTTTTTTGGACAAATACTCGAATATTGATCTTGCTGCTTTGATTTCATTCAATGAGAACATAACCATTCGGATCATGGACTATCATACTGCTACTACTAGACGAGCCTTCTATGTTCTGAGGAACTTTTTTACAGACCTGAGCATGAGACTCAGCTTCTCGCTGAAACTTCTTCACCATTTCGTCAAGCTCTAGTTTTCTACTCTCAACATTCTCTTCTGCCTCTGGCTCCTTGAGTCCAAGGTAGAGCAAAGCTGCGACCACTAGTACCAAACCCGAGAAAAACAGAATGGCTGAGAAAAGTGCAAACGCTTGTGGATAATCTTGAGCTCCTGGTATGCCATCTACGTTGATCCCAAATAGACCAGTCACTATTGTAAGCACAAGACCAACTCCTCCAAAGATCCCTAGGTTGTGTGTAACCGTGAGGCTCCGGTCCTAATCAAAGTCGATAAGGCTCAGATATAAAAACTAAGAAGACTTGGGAGAGTTTATGTCATCATCTGAATGTGAACTATTCTACCTGTAACCATGCTCGAACAGTGTTTTGCATGACGTCTTGGATAGTGAATAAGCGGCCACGGACGGCTTCTTGTTCATTGATCATATCGCGGGTGCTCTTTCTTATTCCTTCTAGCAAGTCTTTTGTTGCATTGCCTTTTAATTGCTGAAGAAGCTCGAACACGATCTCTTCTCTAGCATGTAGCGACCACTTCACCCGTATAACCTGATTCAAGGAATCCAAAGACAAATGATAAACAGAGAGTGTTGGGAAACAAAGTTCTTTCAAAAAGATTGTTGTGGTTCTAAGAGTACTATCTGATCTCCTCCCTGGTTAATCTAACAAGAAAGAACGCTTTACCTGGGTCGAAAGCCTTCTGATTTCTTGATTCAAGATTATAGTAAACAGATTTAGATCCTCGTACATTCTCCTGATTTCAAGAAAAACAAAAAATTTCCATGCTCAGTCATGCTTAAGGAGGAGTGGTTATGCACAAGATAAATATAGGTTTAGTAGAAGTACTTGTTCATAAACATCAACTCAACTTCATCGGCTGCACCAAATATATACTTCCGGAATAGCCTACATTACAGATACCAATATTATCAACCACCATTGGTTTAAATTCCACAGTGTGAAGAATAATCAAAAAGGCTCATACATCTTGATAAAGAGATAACTCATCCATAACTCTCATCTAGCATGTGAGTGAAAGAACAAGATAATTAGCTTATCCTTCTCTAGATCAATGGCAGACACATACCTATCATCCCAGCGTGCAAGGCGGCATGCAAGATGTGCTATTAGTTCATGAACAGTTCTTGGGATGCACGCTCCACCAGCAATAAGCATTTCCTGGTAACACAGAGTATTTCAGCTTAGACAACAAACGAATGAAGGAAAACAATGATTCAGGTGAGAAGAAAACAAACCTGAACTTCTGTAATACCTAACACACTAATGTTAGAGGCAAATCCTTTCACGTGCAATGCAGTCACCACAAAATTCTGAGCTTGCCATGACCTCAATACAATGGGTATGTCATCTTCCTCGATGAACGGATCACCTGCTGATTGTCCCAACAGCTCAAACAACAGCCCACCAGCAACTCTCACAGGAACCTATCACCCAAACACATCACACAAGTCCCAACATTACAAAAGCCAAACATATTCAGACACTAACCTCGTAGAAAAGATGCTTCATCCGTTCACTAATCAGCTTGCTCTCGTCCCGCAGAGCGACGCTTACAGCCGGATGTAGCCACTGCGCGTTACGCAACCACGAGGCGATACCTTGATGGCTAGCATCCAGGTGGCACCACCATGTTGGACCCGCGAGTGGCCGTTCCCAGTAAGGAGCGGCCAGCTCAGCAACCGTGGCTTCGTCATCCTCATGATCCATAGCAGTGCTTTGCAGTTCCCAGTCATTATCAACATTCACAGTCTTAACAAGCTCACAGAGCCTATCCCAACCGATCGGCAGCCAATAACTCCTCGAGGTTTCTTCTTCTCCGGCGACAAATTGATCTGAGTTACATTCCTGTTTTTTGCTATCACAACAACACTGTTCACAGTTGGTTTAAAGAGTCAACAAGAAAAAAGTTCCATTAAGCAAGAAAATGAGTATGTTAGGTAACTATCATACATTTGGCGCAACGTTTCTGGGGAATCTCCTCGCTGTGAAGAAGACTGAAGAAGATTTGCGTTGTATTTGCTTATCTTACGACGACCTCGACGAAACTCGAAAGCACAAATTAGCCCATCCGTCCAGAGATTATGATTCCCGTTGTGATTCGCATTCATAGTTCAACCGATTTCTCTTGATTACAGATATCGATTCATATCACTCGTCTCGTTTCTGAATCAAAAAACAGCATGAATCTCAGAATCAGGCTTCGATTAGACATAGTGCCATGGTGAAGCGCGAAAGTCAACGAATCAAAAACAACAGAAAGAAGAAAGCGAAGATAACAAGCGTACTCGAATCAGCGTGAAGAATCAAAAGCAACCACATTCCTCCAAGAACTTGCCTAAGTTTCCGCACCGATTCGAACGAAGAAGAGAAGAGAGTGACCTTGAGGGAAACAGAGAGAGCGATGTGGCACTCGAGTCGAGAACAAGCAAACACGTGTGTATACATCAATACACGTGTTATTCCAAATTTGGGCCTTATTGGACTTACTCTCAACCACGGGCCCCAATTAGATTCGCTTCTTTCTTCCAATTTTTTTTCTTTCTTATTTTTGTTTTTTGGTGCTCAACTCTCAAATCAGTATTTAATTTAGATTTGGTCCCAAAAGTATGAAATTTGGTTGTAAATAGCTACAAGATGTTTAAACATTATTATGAATCTAAGACAAATCGTCATGAATCATCTGTTGAGAAGTAGGCTGCCAGAAACTTATTTTTGTAAAACTAATTTGTTAATTATTAATCACAATTTTGATGACAACTTAAACATCTCCTACTCTTCACAATCATTCTTTTGGTGTCTCCACCATATAATAATTCAACCCAAAATCTCCTCCTTACTTAAACCCATAAACTCCTCACAAAATCTCAGTAGAAATCTAAACATCTCTCATTAACAATGGCTGGAGGAACAGCTCTGACTCCAACCTCTGTAGGATCCAAGTCACTTCCATTGAGGAACCATGAAGCAGCAGAGAGAGGCAATAACAACAACAGCAGCAACCTGAAAGCATTACCCAAAGCGGTCCAACCGGTTTCATCGATCGAAGGAGAGATGGCTAAGCGGCCACGAGGCAGACCAGCTGGCTCCAAGAACAAACCCAAACCACCAATCATTGTGACTCACGACAGTCCGAATTCCCTCAGAGCTCATGCCGTTGAGATCAGCTCCGGTAATGACATCTGCGAGACGTTATCAGATTTCGCGAGAAGGAAACAGAGAGGACTCTGCATACTAAGTGCCAATGGTTGCGTCACCAACGTGACATTAAGGCAGCCAGCTTCATCAGGAGCGATTGTGACACTACACGGACGGTTCGAGATCCTGTCGTTGCTCGGATCAATCTTGCCTCCACCAGCACCGCTTGGTATAACCGGTCTGACCATTTACTTAGCCGGGCCACAGGGACAGGTTGTTGGTGGAGGAGTGGTCGGTGGGCTAATCGCGTCTGGTCCTGTTGTTCTAATGGCTGCATCTTTCATGAATGCTGTGTTTGATCGTCTTCCTATGGATGATGATGAAGCTGCCTCTATGCAGAACCAGCAGTACTACCAGAATGGAAGATCCCGTCCTTTAGATGACATTCATGGTCTTCCTCAAAACCTGCTCACTAATGGAAACTCCGGTTCTGATATCTACTCTTGGGGCCCTGCACAGCGTGCCATGTCCAAACCTTGATATCGATCACTCTCCCTAATCTCCATGTTTCATCCTATCAAAAGTACCTTAGCTTTATTATCTAATTTACCTTGGAATCAAATACCAATGTTTCTGTAGGTAGAGAGAGAACCATATGAGTTTGGTTAAAAGATCTGAAACTCATCTTTCTCTGTAGTTTGTACCTGCAACAGTAAAAAGAAGAAACTTAGAAGAAGAAGAAAACATAATCCTCTAATACAAAAATATGATAATGTTTCTATCCTTGATCCTCAAAAAAATGATAATGTTTTTTTTCTTTGGATATGTTTGTATCACTTATAACAAGACAAAGCAGAACAAGGTGGCTAGTACTAGGGATCCTGCACAGCGCAACACAAGCATCATACGTACCTACATCACTCACTCCTATGCCTCCTTGAGGAGAGTGAGATTAGAACTACGTTGTGTGCTTGTGACAATATTGTGCTGATTGCTCACCAATGTAATAGGGCAGCCATTGACAAAGTTGTTTAGCCAACTTCTGATTTTAGTGCAGAGACATCCCAGTTTAAAACACCTAGTAAACTATAAATCTCTGAGGATTTGGGATGTCTTTTCCCGCAAGATACAAACTCATGAACTTCGGAATCCACTTCAATCGAGCTGCACCCTATTTCCTTCTCCATTTGTCTTTCCTTCATCAAAACCCTCTGCTCAACCGCCTCTTCGAACAACCCATAAGAAGCATAAGCATTAGACATGAGCACATAACCACAAGTTTCTTCTGGATCCAGCTTCTCCAGCCTTTTTGCTGCTCGTTTAGCCATCTCAACATTACCGTTTTTCATGCAACCAGAAAGCAGACAACTCCATATAACAGCGTCTTCTTCCACCGGCATGTTCTTTATCATTGCTTCTGCTTCTTCGAGCAGTCCCGCTCCACCCAGCACATTAACCATGCAAGTGTAGTGTTTTATCGATGGCTCGATCGAATATGTTTCTCTCATCAGTCTGAAAAAGTCGCTAGCTTTTTGTACTTTCCCGGCGTGAGCACAAGCTGTTAAAACACCAATGAAGCTAACCGAATCTGGCTCCAAACCAGAGCTCTCCAAATCCGAGAACAAATCCATGGCTCTTTCCTCGTATCCATTATTAGCTAGACCAATAATCATTGAGTTCCAACACGATAATTGCTTCTTTGGAGCACTCTCAAACACCTTTAAACCTTCCTCGATGCACCCGCACTTGCAGTACATATCTATGATTGCAGTAATCACTATACCATTCAATTCAAATCTGTTCACCACTATATATTCATGTATCCATCTCCCTTGCTCTCTTGCTCCAAGACACGCACAGGCATTCAACAGACTCACCATTGTAAACCCATCAGGCTTCACATTCCTCCCCTGCATCTCTCGAAACATCTCCAACGCATCCTTAAATCTACCATTCCTCACAAACCCACTGATCATCGAGTTCCACGAAACTTCATTTCTCTGCGGCATTTCGTCAAACAGCTTCTGGGCCTCTTCGACCGACCGGAATCTAGCAAGACCCATGATCATCGAGTTCCAAGCAACGACATCGAAATCCGTCATCCCCACGAAAATCGCCCAAGCTTCAACGAAACACCCACAAGTCGCGTACATATGAAGCATCGTGTTCCGTACAAACGAGTCGTCTTCAAGTCCCTCTTTGATAACCCTCCCGTGCAATTGCCTCCCATCACGAGCTTTCCCGAGACTAGCGTAAGCCTTGAACACCGAAGGATAGGTCAATCTCTGCGGCTTCACAGACGGAGAACACAACATATCGATGAAAATCGAAACCGCCATCTCCGGAAACGAGCTCCGTGAGAAACCTCGGATTACAGTGTTCCACACAAATGGGTTCTTGTGATTGATCCTCTTGAACAGCAAATAGGCGTAACTCATGTCAGTCGGAGACGTGCAACAGAAGGTGAGGACGCGGCTCGCGGCGATAGTATCGGAAATTAAGCCGGTTTTGATGAGATTGGCGTGGATTTGCTTGAGCTCTCTCATCGTGCTGCATTGTGTGTCTATCAATCTGAGATAAGAGTTTCCATAGACGGAAGCCGTTGACGGAATCGCCGGCACCGTCACACCGGAGTAGCATAAGGTCGTCGGAATCATTTTTTACCCGCCGAATCAAATTTAAAGGTGGGACATTTATGAAAGATAAATACTTATCCTTTTAAAAGAGATTACACACGTGTGCACGTGATTGCCATTGACATCAAGATGAACATGACACTCACACACGTGTGCTTGTCTTTCCCAAAACCTGTCATCATTGCTCTCTGATTTACTAGCATTTTAAGTTTTTTTCCCTTAACTTAATCAATCAACAAGAACTGAAGAACAGCGTACGAGGTTCAATAATCTGTCTCAAGCAAAGTGAATTGATTATTTCATAAATTGATCATCTAGAGGACATCTCTTAAAGAGTACAACACCAAAAGGCAAAAACCAACAAGACGAGCAAAGAAGGCCCAAGTCTTTATCATCTCGATTGTTTCAAATCTGCAGAGCATCAGCAATGGATCCCGCGAGGCTCAAGACTTCGAAAGGAGCCTTGTTTCCTATAGCTTTAACCGTCTGTGGGCAAGAATCCGTGATCCAGAAGTAAGCAAACGCTTCTTCTACTCCTAATTTGAAGACATAACAACAAAAACAATAAGCTACAAGAAGATATAGGAACAATTAACAAAGTCCGTTACTTTCGCTTCTGTTTCTTATAGGTAATTACCGTTGTTCTTGTGAGTGAAACGGTCCCAGGAGCTATTCGGGAAGACACCATGAGTTACATAAGCACTCACCTTCGCAGCTCCATGAGCTGCCAATACTTTCTGCGTGACGCGAAAAATGAAAAGTTAAAACATTATCTGCAGATTCAAGAACTAACACAGATTTTTGGATCAAAAGTGGTCTGAGCTTGGAATATCAGCCTGAGAGCCTTAAAAGAGAGAAGCATTTCACAACCATCTAACTCATAATCCATGGAAGATTACTAACGGTAAAAGCAAAAGATGCAGGGATCTCAATACCTGGCATTCAATAAGCGTACCCCCAGACTGAACAAGATCATCAACGATAACAACGTGACAACCAGAAGGGTTTCCTTCCTTCAGCCTGACAATTCTCTTATCGCCTTCACGGACCTTTGTGCACACCACCTATTACGATTCAACATTGGGTTTCATTAAGGTATTGTGATGCTCATAAAGTTCGTTCAAGTGACAGATTGATTAAAACACCAGTTTAGATCGCTACAAACCGTGGAATACTGATCCAACAGCTTGTGGAAACGCTTCCAGGCTCCATCATCCGGAAATGCAACTATGATCTGCAAACAACAGAACACTCAAATTTAGTCAAAGTGAAAGAACACAAAGAACATTTATCATTTCAGCTATAAAAAAAAAACTAACCTTTTCACTCTCAGGAAGCTGTTGAAGACGTTTCGTCAACAAAGGGATTCCAGTCTCAAACAAAGGAAGAACCTGATCAGCAAAGTAAAACCTTTCCTGCAAACACAAGAACAGATAGAGAGAGATATAGCGATCATCAAAAGGAATAACACTTGCTTACTAGTTACCGAGTCTCAGGAATATCGTACCTGCAGAGCGTGAATGTCGTAGATGACAACACTAGTAGGACCTCCACGTGAAATGGGGATGTTGGAAACAATCCTCGCCATGGTGAAAGCAGTTGCCACGTCTCCTTCCTCTTCCATTCTCTCAAAGGAGCCAGTGGGGAAGAAAGGCAACACCAAGGTGAAGGACGCGACAAACAAGCGAGGGAGCAAGTAAATGACAGAGATCTGCTCAAAGATGACAGCGGGAGAGCTGAATGAAGCAAGGAAGGCAACGTGCTGGCCTCGGATTTCATGTGCGTTGTTGATAAACAGATTTGGGAATCCATCAGCAAAGCTCCTGAAACCAAATATAAAACCAATGAACAAACCAATTCGCATATGCTCAATCCCATCTATGAATCACCGAATACGATTCACACCAGCCACACAAAGGAAAACGCAGATTCTGGGGGCAGAACAACAAAATGGAGTTTGTTTTGGCAGAGTGAATCCAATTTTTTAACAGTAAAGAGATGATTTTTAAGCATCACCCAGAAACTTAAACAAGAGGGAATCCAGAAAAGGAGGGAAAGAGTGAAGCTTTTAGTTACCTCCAGTTGATGGATTGAAGGGTAATATGATCAGATTCAGCGGCGATATTGCGAGCAAGTTCTTCGCACTCTAAGCAGTAAAAGAGATGAACTTTCTTCTTCTGTAGTTCAGACACAATGGCGTCTTTACAAATCTTGGTCTCCATGATGCTGTTGGCTGCGTTCTCAGACATCGACGCCGTGAAGAGTGTCTTTTGCTACGGAATCGGATACGCAAAAAGGGTTTAAAAGGTTCTTTTTTTTCCAAAAGCCCTTCTTTTGTTCGGCTGACAATTTTGATTCCTTACACTCCTTTTTTAATTCCTTTACCCCCAAATCTACACATGTATTTCCAATCCAATCCAGGTGATACGTATACTGTATTTCTGATTTTCCAAAAAAGAAAAAACTAAAAAATCTTTTTCGTTATTGAGTTTTGACATTTCTAATTTTCTATAGAGCGCCTCAAATATCATTTATGTTATCATTATCTCCAATTAATCTACGAAATTATCATATCACACACACACAAAAAACCAAAGAAAAAAAAAACTCTAACAGATACTGGAACTTGTAAAAGCAGAATTTTCATGCAACAAAAATTCAATAAATTTAACTTTTTAACATAAAAAATCGTAATTTATATATTTTTTCGTATCTATATTTTATTTTCATAATTTTATACTCATTTTCATTACGTTATCCATAAGTTAAAATCTTTATTATCTCACAAGATTGCATTGAAAAATTGAATTTGAATTCAAATTTGTTAAATTAATGTCAAATTATTTATCAAAAATTTAAATTCGAATATAGAGAAAATAAAAAACTGTAAACAAAAATTACAATTTAAAAAAAAAAAAAAATATTATAAAATAAATACAATTACAAAATTTTAAAAAGAATGATGGTGATTTTTTTTTGCGGTTGAAATTTAATACAAAAAGTTTTGGGTTAGATTTAAATCTTATTAGTGTTTTTAATAATAATATTATTATTATTATTATTATTATCATTTTTTCTAATAAAAACCGATTGATTTGCATTAGTTGTGAAAACAAATTGAACATAAGTAATCTCTAACGGCCAAATGAATTCAAATGGCTGGATACTATGTCCGGTTAGTTTCACAGCTAATGTAAATTTAATCGATTTTAAACTAATCTAAATTTTAATACAAATAAATACAAAAAGAAAATAAAAGAGAAAAAATAGAAAACATATCTTTTTTCTGAGTTTCTTTTTCTCGGAATCTCTTGCTTCCTGAGTTTTATTTTATGTAAAATGTTTTACCTGAAACAATACAAAAAAACATCAGATTTAATGTTTGAGTTAGATTCAAGTTTCATTTAATGTTATTATTATTATTATTATTATTTTGCCTAATAAAAAACCGTTTGGTTTGCATTAATTGTGAAAACAAATTGAATATAGGTAATCTCTAACAACCAAATGAATTCAAATGGTTGGATACCATGTCCGGTTAGTTTCACAACTAATATACATCTAATTGATTTTAAATTAATCTAAGTTTTAATGTGAATAAATACAAAAAGAAATAAAAGAGAAAGAATAGAACACATATCTTTTTCCTTGAGTTTCCTTTTCTCGACATCTTTTGCTTCGTGAATTTCATTTTGTAGAAAATTTTTAACCTGAAACAATACAAAAAAAATACCATGTTTGGGTTAAATTCAAATTTCATTTAGTATTGCCTACTAGGGATTGTTCTGCGCTACGCGCGAATTGTAAATTATAATTTTATTTTTAATATGAATTATATAAGATTTAAAATTATGGGAATTAAATAAAGAAATGTAAGCTCAAATTAAAAAAATGTTTGTATTTTGATTATTTGTAAGTGTAATCATCTAATTTGTTGAGAAATCTATATTTCAGCTAGTTGTGTATTTTTATAAGCTACTTATTTTATATTGATTATGTTTAATTTTGGGTTAGACATTCTATTCAAAAGCTTATTTGGCAAATGATCTAGATTAAAAAATGATGCATTTATATTAAGGTTATTATCTTGATATAAAATATAAAATGAAAACTTTGTATCTATTTATATTTGGTGTCTTTGAAAGTATCTATCTTATTTTACAGTTTTGATATAAAAAAATTGTATAATACAGTTCTTCGATTATAGAAAGTATAATACTTTCTTTCAGATATCTCGCAGCAGCTTGATAATGTCCTCCCGCATTACCAACCTACGTTTTACATTGGTATGGAAAACCAGTTTTCTGGTATCTCTGTATTTTCCGTGGGTTCTAATTTTTGTTCTTCCATCTCCTCCAATGGTGGAATCCTGTAAAACTGGTGATACCAAAAATAGTATATGCAAAAGCTTAGCAAAACCGAGTGAAACATTGCATGATTGATGTAGACCACGCATCCTTTGTGCTACTACATATTGTTCCTGTGGAACTCGTTGCCATCCTCCCACAGTCGTTTTCTTTATATATTGGTCTTTCTCTAATATTGTCCTTATCTCATTATATTTTTCAGGGTTCTGAATCCAGAGACTTTAGTGAAATCAAATAGTCAGTATAAATGAATACAGAATATATAGAACTACCATCTGTTTGTTTCTAAATTATAATAAATAGAAAACAATGAAACACTTCAGAATAGACAATGGT